CATATATTTCTTTCATTATTATTATTGCAGAACATATTCTATTTCAATAACCAAACCTCCTAATTTACAAAGACAGAGACGGACGCACAGAAGAACACAAGACAAACATACGAGTTTGTTTCTTAAAAAAAATCTACATGTCTTAATTTACTACTGGCCTATCAAACAGACATTAATTTTTGCCGTTCAAAGTGCAACGTTTGCTATGCTTAGATCATGTGACCAAAAACCTCACAACCTTATACTTCGCTTCAAATTGAACACGATTTATATCAAGTTTGGTCCAACATTTACAGAAGAAACTCTTCATTAAAATACCTAACCAATCCTAATGAATCACCTATGAATAATGTGTGCTCGGGTGAGCTATATGTAAATTGCTAGCAAACACAGTTTATATGTGCTTAGGTAAGCGTAATTGCTAGCAATGGCTACGATGCTATGGTGGGCTAAACTGCTAGCAAATACAGTTTATATGTGCTCATGTGAGCTTATTTGCTAGCAAACACGGTTGCTATGTGCTATGTGATTTATATCAAGTTTGGTCCAACATATACAGAAGAAACTATTTATTAAATACCTAACTAATCCTAATGAATCACCTATGAATAATGTGTGCTCGGGTGAGCTATATGTAAATTGCTATCAAACACAGTTTATATGTGCTTAGGTAAGCGTAATTGCTAGCAATGGCTACGATGCTATGGTGGGCTAAATTGCTAGCAAATACAGTTTATATGTGCTCATGTGAGCTTATTTGCTAGCAAACACGGTTGCTATGTGCTGAGGTGAGCTTAATTGCTACCAAACAAACGGCTGCTTTGTACCTGCTAGCTAAGGCAGTTGCTTTCTGCTGAGGTGAACTAAACTACTGGCAAAGGCAGTTCCTGTGTTTAAGAGAGCTAAATTGCTAGCAAAACAAATGTGGTCATGCGAGCTTTACTGCTAGCAAAAACAGTTGCTTTTCTATTATTTTTGTAATCTTGTCTGCCTTGTTGAGTTTCAGCATCACTTTACACTATCATAACACCAATGAAATATGATAATTTTCAATATTAATGCATGAAAGCAAGACAATAAATTGCCTAGACAATATGCAAACAAAATGATGAAGCGTAATTTCCTGAATTATAAATAAATTTTCACCTATATAATAATACATTATTAAATTCCCAAGCAATTTAATATGTTTGTACAATACTGAATGGTTTATAAACAAATCTAGCATGTCAACAGCATGTTTAATTATTCTCTAAATGCAAACTTTAATGGCTGTGAGAGATAATTAAATGCCATTATGTTGTTTTTTATCAAAGCTTTGTCAGAAGGTGATCCGATTTCATCTTACATCTTTGTTATATGTGCAAAGGTTTTAGGTCCATTTATCAAGCAAAATAACACCATTTATTATAGACTTATAAATGAAATGGTTGAAATGGAACAATACAAAGAAACCATATGTCAACACCGTATAAATATGAACAATATTCTAATTAAGATCTAACGATTTCGAACCTATCTGGTTTTACATCAGGATAATTTGTACAAAATATATACAAATTATGTAAGATGGGTAATTCACGCGTTAGATAAAAATAGTAATAAAATTAATAGTTTTCTATAAATAGATCAAATCTTGGAAACTTGACAGCAAAGTTTGTGGAAGTGTGCAAAGTTTTTTATCTTTGTTAATTAGTATTTTGGAAGATGCCATTATATGCCTTGAATGTTGATAATAAGTTCATTTTTATTATTTTACATCAAATACTGATCTTGGCTTGATGTCCAAAAGGTGTTGCTAGGATGATGTTCTACTGACTTAGCAGTCAAATTCGTCTAGAAATGTTAATATCTTCTATATTTTCTATATTAGGCCTTTTGTACGTTTTCTTCATTTTTTAACGTTAATTGTCCAGTCTTCCCGTGCATTCTGAAATTTGGCGTTTTGTAGATCTTGTTCTTTTGATGATGTTGCAAATTTTAAATGAATGTTTTAAAATTATACTGATGAAATAAAATGCATATATTTTGCATATTTTTTTTGTTCACTGTACAAATTAATTTTTCACTGCAGTGAAACATATTTTCTGTATTTTGCCTTTTTTAAGCATAAAGCAAACCATTTTAAGCTCGTGGTAATGAATTTGAGTCTCAGTCAATACGGATTTTTAGCTCACCTAAGCACAAAGTGCTCAGCTTTTCTCATGGCAGTGTGTCCGACGTCAGCCGTTGTCCACAATTTCTTTTTACAACAATTCTTAAACCACTTGATGGATTTTAACCAAACTTTACAAGAATGATCCTTAAATAATTAGGTGGTATGACATGTGATTCCATCCTTCGTAGATCTATGAAAATCATATCCTTAGAAATTACAATGCCACGGGCTAGATATTTGTCATGAAGCACTGTGAAGCAGACATCTACATACTTTTTAAAATTTATGCAGCCTAGAGAAAATATGTGACTGCCTCACTGGCTTTACCTTTTCTACAGCATGAATCTGAGGTGAGCGATCCGGAGCTTTGATACACAACCTTTCTTGTTATATAAAAGCTATCTTTACTAATTGGTTATAATTCTACAAGAAAATGCAGATCAGCAAGCACGTCGGGCGAGGAATAACTTCAGATATAATTTTAGTGTCTTTATATTCTTGGTTAGCTTGTGGTAAGTCATTCAATATTTCATTTTCAGAAATTAATGGTATTCTTCTTATAAAAAAGTTTATGGGGCAATGGAATAAAAATTGAGTTCGAAAGGAATATCAATGACCAAAATTTTATCAGCTAAATGAAAAGTAAATGGTAATAATGATGCTAATGATGATATTAAGAATGAAAGTGGTGATTATGAATATGATGAATAAACCAGTTATCTATTAAAGCAGCACGCCTCCAGATTCACGCTAAATTTCGTGAAAATTTTGAAAATATATTTGAATGTGTAAGATTGTGAAGTAACCTATAGGAAACAAGTTACTCTTTATCAATGGCACTTACAAACCACGTAAATTACCAAAAAGTGGTCAAAATATGCATAAATTGCCTCTACTGCGTTAGTAACGCAGTAGAAATATAAATTATGAAAAATCAGTCATTACTCGCACAAGTATATATAAAATATTACTTGAACCTTGAAACATTTTACTTTCCTAACATCTTAGTACATTTTTATCTCAAGTGATTTGATTGAAGTATTTTGACTCATCTGGAGGCATGTAGCTTTAAGAAGGCGATATTTTTTACAGGTGAAGACGATGACGTGGCATTATTCAAAGACGTTCACTTCCCTAAATCTCAGAATTTTCTTCCAGTAGTAGTAGGGTGAGTTAAGACTTACATTTACCATATATTAGTTCGTGAAATTTCAGCAAAATTTTCCACGGATTGGTCCTAAAACTTATTGTAGTTATCGGACTGTCCAATCCTAGAACTTTTTTTCCGAAGACCGAACTGACAATTCCTGAATTTTATTGTTAACACCGGACTGACCAGTACTTAGTGTAAGACCGGATTGACCAAATAGAGATGTCAATTCTAAGAACGGATTGACCACATAAAAAAAGTTAATTCTGAGGCCGGATTTACCACATAGAAAATTTAATTCTGAGATAGGATTTACCACATAGAAAATTTAATTCTGGGATAGGATTTACCACATAGAGAAGTTTATTCTGAGACCGAATGACAACATAGAAAATTTAATTCTGAGACTGGATGGACCACATAAAGAAGTTTATTCTGAGACCGGAAGTCCCAGAAATTATTACTAAGGTTATTACTAATGCTGGAGTCACGTGTCCTTTAACTTACTGTTTCGCCAGATAATTGACCAGCCCTAGAACCTGTTGTCTAGACAAGACTGACCTGAGACTAGAATAATCGTACATTTCAAAAGGAGTAATTTAATTAAGGGTTGGTGGTCACGTGACGATGGTTTACGGAAACATTGGGACACAGGTAATGACCATGCCAACAACTTAAAAAGATTTTTTTCCGTTTATACACCGTGTTCCAGACAAAAAAATCCAAATCCAGTGGTTCATAGTTTGCCAATAGCCCAACATAACTTTTTGTGCTTTTCTCGAAAAAAAATGCAGAAATTGTGACACACTGTTACCGTAAACATGTATTTTCATCAAAATATTGCCGCATAGAAAATTTGGGAAAATTACTAAGTACCACCGGAATCTGCAAAAAAATACATGAAAGGCGGGATATGTTTATTATTTAAATATTGCGAAAGATCAAAAGAAAAATTTACAAATGCATTTTAGTCATGGGTGCAGCCCTTTGCAGTGACCAAATGTTACGGTGACTACCCACCCTGTTAGGAATTAATATCTATAAAATTTATAATGCATTTTTGTTTGTATTGTAGACGATACAAGCGTGGCTTTGGTAACATTGACACTGGTAATCGAGCGACTTAGAGAACGTCCCCAACAACAGTCCAACAACCGCCTACACCCCCAAAACGTACAAGTGCTGCCACGACATCCCGAAGTACCGCACCAGAAACACCAACAGCGGCAGCAGCAACAACAACAACAGTAACAAAACCGTCTGTTACGTCATGGGTTTATGAACGACATAAATATATATGTGCTTTAACTACGTTTATTATCTAAACTATATTCTATGATACATGTGTTTACATATCAGTGTCCGCGATGGTAGTGTATCTATGATCTAGGGAACTCTCTATTATAAAGGAGCTGTACGCACCTAGAGTATCATGTTACAGTTTACTCATCATGCTACATCTTCCATCTTTTACAAAATTACTGTTATATTTAAAACATAATTTTATCATAAGTAAAACCGCATAGATTATTTGAATAACGCTTAAATAAATTCAAGGAAGAAAAACGTTATATTAGATGATGATTACAGTAACATGTAGTTAATAAATGTTCATTATCATGAGTCGTTTACAACATGTACTAATCATGATTAATACTGTAAATTTCTTCATTCCAAACAATCGCTGTCTATTTACAAGTCTGTTACAGCACGTGGCTTCACCTTTCTGCCTGCGCGAGTGAAATAATTAGCATTATCCGGAGGATTCAAAACCACAGGCTGTTTATTGCTATCGGTACGCTCTGACCCTACGTTAATCATTCTGTCATTAACTGACATTTCAAGGCCAGAATTCAAAGCACCATGTGTCAATAAAGGTGATTCTTTAGATTTCAACAAATCTTTACGATTTCTGCGATATTGTTGTCCGTTTTCTGTTTCAACAATATAGGACCTATCGCTGTGATTTTTTATTACAACAGCGGGACTCCAGGACTTGTCTAGACGTTGAATTCTAGCGGAATCTCCAACATTTAAGGGAGACAGAGGCTTAGCATTTTTATCATAGTAATGCTTAGATTTGACCTTGGATTCTGCGATTTTTTGTTTGACTACATCAGGGGGCGGTACTCGTGGTATAAGGTTTTCCCTTACAGTGGGAAGGATAGAACGAAGTTGTCGTGATTGGACTAACTGCGCTGGACTGAAATTTCCTATATCAGCGAGAGGAGTAGAACGATATTCTAAAAATCCTATTCTCGGTTCAGAATTATCATCTTTTGCCTTTTTAAGTATACGTTTGGCAACTTTAACCATCGCCTCAGCCAAGCCATTTGTTTGGTTATGATATGGACTACATTTTACATGTACAAAATCCCATGACTTTGAAAACTCATCAAATTCTTGACTAGAAAAACATGGACCCCCATCAGTGACTATTTTCTCACATATGCCCCAATGTGACATGATGTCTTTCAGGTGGGAAATAACAGTTGAACTTTTTATGTTCGAAAGTTCATGAACTATGGGATACCTAGAATAGTAATCGGCAAGACCATGAAATTTTTCTCATTAAGTGAGAACAAGTCACACCCTGCAATTTGAAACGGATAGTCTGGGATTTCAGAGCTGATTAATGGCTCCTTCTGTTGCGATGACTTGTATTCCAGACAAATCTGACATTGATTTACCATTTCAATTATATCATTTGAAATTCCCGGCCAAAACATTATTGACCTTGCTCTACTAAGACATTTTTGCGCACCCAGATGACTGGAATGCAGCACCTTTAACATTTCAGATCTGAGTGACCTGGGCATAACGATTTTTTCTCCTTTCATTATTAAACCATTAACCTCAGATAACTCATCCCTATAGTTCCAAAAGGCAGCAATTAACTGATGACAAGCCTTTTTGTACTTAGGCCAACCAAACTTTATTGTTTGTTGTAATGTACATAATTGTTCATCTTGTTTTGTGTGTAACCTGATTTCCTCAAGTTTTCTATCTGACACGGGTAAAGATAAGATAACCATGCAAACGTGTGCCTCAATACCCTCATTAAGTTCTGGGCTTGTTTCCGGACTGGCGTTTCTGCTAAGTCCATCTGCTAATGGGATTTTCTTACCGGACATGTGACGAAACTGAAACCTATATGGAGTTAATTTCAAGACTAAACGCTGCAACCTAGCAGGTATTGAATGCATAGGCTTTTTCAGCAATCCCTGTATAGGAGAGATTTACCACCACGTCACTGATAACTGCTGTGTGGACTACGTATACACACAATCTTAGAAGGTCGTACATTCACATGTAAACAATGATAGCATTTTCTGTAAAGTTAACATAAGATGATGTTCCTGGGGCAAAGTTTTAAAGATCAGAATTATCTGAACATATGTTTTTTGTAATATTCAAAATGAAGAAAAAAATACAAAACTATTTTCTAAATAGTATTGACATATTTTATATATAAGATGTTATAAAGGGTTAAATTTTTGCTAAACATCTACATGTATTTTAATTTTTATGTCTAGTATATCAATCTTGAAACAACATGTGTTCTATGAATTATCATTTTTATGTGAAATATGCCTGCTAATTGCTCAGTTTTGTTTCATTTTTATTTTCCCTTTTTTCACCCTGTCAATGTAAATATGTTTTATGATTCAAGGGTATTATATTTTAGCCATTTTTAAATGTATGCTTAAGAACCAAAACTGAGTGTTGTTAACATAAATATAATTTAAAACTTTATGCTTAGTTCATGTTCAGTTTTAAGTATTAAGCAAGTTAAAGTGACATTATGCTCATATTTTCATAGTCAATTTGAGCTGAATTGACTTTATATTTCAAAAGATTGACTGTTAAAATGGTGTTTGACCAACAGGTGATATTTGAAAATGTTTGGGATAAATTTAATTTATTTAAAAAGTTGACAAAATCACCAGTTAAACATGTTTACAGCAGCCAATATAAAAAAGAAAAGGCAACATAATTACTCAAAATAGTCATGTGTCACATCTGTGGTTGGATCAGGTAGATATGATAATGACCTCCGTGAATTTAGTACACCTCTAAAACTAAATCATACTTATAAGCTAGGCCGGCATTTATTATATATTTGATGTAGTTAACTAATTATAACTTTTTTAAGCCACATATTATAACAAATATCTAAACAATGTCTTTATAATTGTTCGAATATTTCTTTTGCTTACAGTTTTTATAATTGTTTGTAGATTTCTTTTCCCTACAGTTTTATTTATTTTCAATAAAAAATAAATAAATAGGAAATATGAGATAAGAAAGATTGTTTTGTTTATATAATTTTGTAGTCAGTACCTTTAAAAGTACAATAGAATTGCATCGTTTCATACAATAATTAAACATAATAGCTTATATTTTCCCAGTCACTTTGCAAGCTTAATGTTAAAGCTTTACTTTATTTATTTTTAATCACCTGTTTTATTCGCGATGAATTGAGTTTACGATGAATTAAGTGTACGTTATTTTTTGCTGATTTAAAAAATGATAACAGTTTCTTGACAATATTTCTAAGCAAGTTTGTTTCACATATAATGTCTTTATTGTAAATAAATAGTTACTCAACATATTGTTAATCTTTTTTTTATTCATGAACCATTTACCTGATATTTTCTTAAATTTATGATAAATCAATCATTTTTCTATTCGGGGACTAATGATGCTTTAGCATCAAAACCTCTACTTTATTGAAACAGAGCTCATATTTATTTCTTAATAGACAAACACACCATAGTTTTCTTATGTAAAATGACTAGGTAGTACAAAGAGAATGTACGACCAGCAACGGTTGCTATGGTCAGTGCTTATCAGCAATTCTATTTTTAGAATATTGGCCACTGGTAAATCTCTCCTATAGGGAGATGGTCATTTTCTACAATGACATCACGACCATAGCAGTACTGATGAAATTTCGTAAATTCAAAGACAATAGATAATAATTCTTTAGAAATTTGACCCATATTTCTCTGTGATTCAGTTAAGCTACGGGACGCAAATGCTATGGGACGTTTTTCCTGAAGGATTACTGCCCCTAAAGATTTTGAAGAAGAATCAACTTGCAATGTCAAGGATTTGTTTGGGTCATAATAAGCTAAACATGTGTCCTTACAAATGACTTCTTTCATTTTTTCAAAGGAATCACTTTGAGGCTTTTGCCACGTGAATATAGTGTCCTTATGCAATAACTCTCTCATAGGAGCGGTAATCTCTGATAAATTGTCAGAGACATAACGACTGAGATAATTAACCATGCCTAATACCACCTGTAGTTCACTTTTTGATGTGGGTGGTCTCATATCCTTAATGGCCTCAATTTTGGCGGGATCGGCCTTTAAGCCTTCTGCAGTTAACACGTGACCAAAATAACTAATCTCGGTGAGACCTACTTCCAACTTTCTGGAATTGAAACGAATGCCTTTGTTTAAAGCACGTTCAAGGACAGCTACTAAATTTCGGTCATGACTTTCCCTCGTGGAACCCCATACACAAATATCATCAACAATTGTAGCTACCCCTTCGAGACCTATCAGTGCCTCTTCAAGGGCGCGAACCAAAAAATCACCTGATACGTTTAATCCGTATGGACATCGAAGATACCTGAAGACCCCCAATGGACTGTTAAATGCAGTCAAATATGACGACTCTTCAGATAATTGTATTGACCAGTAAGCACTAGTTAAGTCCAATTTAGTGAAATACTTTGCATTACCAAACTTATGTAATACGTCATCAAGTGTTTTGAGCGGGTAGGGTGTACGCTTAATTGCACTATTCAGCGAACGAGGGTCTAAACAAAGACGTATATCGCCATTACTTTTTTCAGTAACAACTAAATTATTACACCATTCAGTGGGTGTTGAAATCTTAGCAATTACTCCCATTTTTTCCATTCGTGTAAGTTCCTGTTTCACTTTATCTTGTAAAGCAACTGGAATCCTACGGGGAGGATGAACAACTGGTGTAGCATTTGGGTCAACATGAATGTTACATTCCCCAGGGAGTAACCCTATGCCATCAAAAACCTGGGCATAATCCGTCAAAAGGGACTCTTTAGTAAGAAATGCCTCTTTATTTCTATGATTATAATCATTTTGTACAGAATGAGCAAATTCTATGAGCTTAAAGCCCAAGCACGACTCGCAACCTAATAGTGGTGGGGATTTCGTGTCTACGACATGAAACGTGACATTTTTTGCTTGACCTGAAACAGCATGAGAACAAGGGAGAGTGATTTGCCCTTTGCTATGCAAGGAATTGCCATTGTAGGCGGTCAATTTAGATGTGGGCTTTTCAAGTGGTGCCTTGATTCCTAAACCTTGAAAGGTAGATAATGGCAAAATGTTTACCTGAGAGCCAGTGTCTAACTTCATTTGCACAGCCTTTTTACTATTTCCAATTAATATTTCTGTAAACATCTGCCCATTTTTTACTGTTACACAGTCAAGACTGTCCACATTTTCTACACAGTCAATGTATAATTCAGAACTTAAATTTGAAATTTCATTCACTGTTCTAGATTTACAAACATTGCTCCAGTGGTTCCATTTTTTACAATTGTTACATTGTGTGCCTTTTGCTGGACAACGCTGCTTGTCAGTATGTTGATTTCCACACCTGTTACATTTTGTACTGTGTGAACGTTCCCCAATGCGACCTGGATTGCTTGATGTTTCTGTATATCGACCTGGATTCATCGATGAAGGGTTCCGAGACGAACGACCTTGGATGCCCGATGAACGGCTAGGCATCCGTCCCTTCGGTCTTGATACTGCATGTACCGGAGCACTTTCTTGGACGTTATTGAACATTTTTATTTGAGATGCAGCATATTCAAATTCTTGGCAAATTTTTGTTGCCTTGTCTAATTTCAGATCTTTCCCTACTTGCAAAAGCCTTTCTCTTAATTTCGAACATGACACGCCAAATATAATTCTATCTCTGATCATGTCATCTTTCATTGTTCCAAAATCACACTCTGTAGCCTTGTTTTTTATTATTGTGATGAATTGTTCCATAGTTTTTTCGCCTTGTGTGATATTATTGAATTGATAGCGGCTAAATACTGGGTTAATTATGGGAGCGATGTGTTCTCGGACTTTTTGGAAGATCTTTTTTGTTTCTTTTCTATCTGCATTAGATAAATTGGCGGCTCTATATATTTCTCTTCCCTTTGCGCCCATATAAAGCAATGGCATTGTAACGTGGACATCTTCCTCTTGATCTTTCAATGGTCCTTTAAATATTAATTCACAGTGCTCTTGAAATTTTGCGAATTCTTCTACAAGATTGGTTGATGTCCAGTCCATTTGAGGTTGCGGGATACCACTTAAATTCATTTTTTTTATAATATTCCAGCACTTAAGGAAATGTTAATGTAATATTCCAACAAGAAGGAATTATAGTTAATTTCTGTCCTTTTTTTTTGAAGAATGTTTATTGCACATTTGTTAATATTCCGTTATTAGGAATGATTCACCTTTTAATATAATATTCTTTCCTTAGGAATTATAATTAAACTATTTAAATTATTCCGTCTTTAAGAATTATTATCTTTCCACTTCTGACACCATGTTACGTCATGGGTTTATGAACGACATAAATATATATGTGCTCTAACTACGTTTATTATCTAAACTATATTCTATGATACATGTGTTTACATATCAGTGTCCGCGATGGTAGTGTATCTATGATCTAGGGAACTCTCTATTATAAAGGAGCTGTACGCACCTAGAGTATCATGTTACAGTTTACTCATCATGCTACACCGTCTACACCGCCAGATCGTACTAGTGTTTCCACGGCAACCCAATGTTACCTACCAGAAAAAGCAACAGCGACAGCAGCAACAACAATCACAAAACAGACTACAACTCCTGATCGTACTAGTGCTTCCACGGCAACCCAAGGTTACCTACCAGAAAAAGCAGCAGCGGAAGCAGGAAAAACTACAACAGTCTCAAAACCGTCTACACCCCCAGATCGTACTAGTGTTTCATCAATCACACCACAAAGTCACCCGCCAGAAAAACTAGCAGCGGTAGCAACAAGTACAGTAACAGCAGAAACAAGAATACAAATTGTTTACACAACACAAACAGGTACATTTCTGATAAATATAGTCTTATATTTTGTTACTTTCAGAATAATGCACATTCACAAATTAATCAACTAATCAACCAAAGAAAAAATTAAAATCATTCATATAAAAACAAACCATTGAGCTTTCCGAAGAATACGAATAAAATTCCCTCCCGTCAGATACAATAAGTCGTCTGATAAAAAAGTAAAAAAAAAAACAAAAACAAAACTTTCCTTATAAAAGAAAAGAATATTGCATTTATTATATTCACTGTTGAACTTTCAATGTTACAACATTTCTTTTCTCATTACAAACTATTTTTTCGGGGATTTTTGTCGGTATTCCTTGTTTTATGACTGTTAATCTGTTTCAGATGTGAACATTTTTTTAATAAAAATTTCCAATACAATATAAGGAACTCTTATCTTCTCTTACAGGTGAAAATGTAACAGATACAACAAAAGAGACTACAACAAGCGCTGGTCACGTGATATCTAAGACGCTCACATATATTTCTTTCATTATTATTATTGCAGAACATATTCTATTTCAATAACCAAACCTCCTAATTTACAAAGACATAGAGTTTGTAGAACATACGGACGCACAGATGAACACAAGACAAACATACGAGTTTGTTTCTAAAAAAACAATCAACAGGTTATAATTTTCTAATGGCCTTATCAAACAGACATTTTGCCGTTCAAAGTTCAGCGTTTGCTATGCTTAGATCATGTGACCAAAAACCTCACAACTTTCATTATTATACTTATACTTCGCTTAAAATTGAACACGATTTATATCAAGTTTGGTCCAACAAATACAGAAGAAACTCTTCATTAAAATACCTAACCAATCCTAATGAATCACCTATGAATGATGTGTGCACGGGTGAGCTATATGTAAATTGCTAGCAAACACAGTTTATATGTGCTTAGGTGAGCTTAATTGCTAGCAATGGCTCCGATCGATGCTATGGTGGGCTAGACTGGTATCAAATACAGTTTATATGTGCTCATGCGAGCTTATTTGCTAGCAAACACGGTTGCTATGTGCTAAGGTGAGCATAATTGCTACCAAAAAAACGGCTGCTTTGTACCTGCTAGCTAAGGCAGTTGCTTTGTGTTGAGGTGAACTAAACTGCTAGCAAAGGCAGTTCCTGTGTTTAAGTGAGCTAAATTGCTAGCAAAACAATTGTTATGTGGTCATGTGAGCTTTACTGCTAGCAAAAACAGTTACTTTGTCATTATTTTTGTAAAATCTTGTCTGGCTTGTTGAATTTCACCTTACACTATCATAACACAAATGAAATATGATAATTTTCAATATTAATGGAAGCAAGACAATAAATTGCCCAGACAATATGCAAACAAAATGATGTAGCGTAATTTCCTGAATAATAAATAAATTCTCACCTATATAATAATACATTATTAAATTTCCAAGCAATTTAATACGTTTGTACAATAGTGAATGGTTTACAAACAAATATAGCATGTCTGCAGCATGTTTAATTATTCTTTAAATGCAAACTTTAATGGCTGTGAAAGACGATTAAATGCCTTTCTGTTGTTATATTTATTAAAGCTTATCCAATTTCATCTTACATCTTTGTTCTAGGTGCAAAAGTTTTAGGTTCAGTTATCATAACAGTATTTATTATATACTATTATTAAATATTATTATTATATTTATTTATCATATACACCATTTATTACATACTTATAAATGAAATGGTAATACAAAGAAACCACACATCAACACCGGATATATATGAACAATATGTTAATTAAGATCTACCGGTTTTGATCCTATCTGGTTCTTCATCAGGAGAATTTAATAAATCTATCTAAAGTATACAAATTGTATAAGATGGTAAGTCACATGGTAGATAAAATAAATCGTAACAAAATTAATAGTTATCTAAAAATAGATCAAATTTTGGAAAATTGCCAGCAAAGTTTGTGGAAGTGTGCCAACTTTTTTCAAAAAAATATCTTTGTTCATTAGTATTATGGAAGATGCCATATATGCTTTGAATGTTCATTTTATTATTGTACATTAACTACTGATCTTTGTAGATTGTTGATGTCCAAGAGGTGTTGCTAGCATGATGTTCTACTGGTTGTGGTGATGGTCAAATTGGTCTAGAAATGATAATATCTTCTATATTAGGCTGTCTGTAGGTTTTCTTCATTTTTCACTGTAATTGTCCAGGCTTTCCTCGTGTTATTCTGAAATTTGGCGTTTTGGTGGGTCTTGTTCTTTTGGTGATGTTGCAAATTTATAAATGAATTTTAAAAAATACTGATGAAATAAAATGTGTACATTTATTTTGCGTTTTTTTGTTTGTTTTTCACTGTCCAAATTTATTTTTCACTGCAGTGAAACATATTTTCTGTATTTTCACTGGTGTCTTGCTGGACTACTTCCTTCTTAATTCAGCCAATACACAAAATTAAAAGTGAAGTTTTAAGAATTGTAAGGTCAAATAAAGAGATAAAGTATATAAAGAAAACCCAGAAAATCCATTTTCTACAAACACACCATTATTTTCATTGAGTAATATGAAATATGATGATTTTCAAATCACGGTTAGAGGGCCATTTAAGGTATCCACCTAGTAAATATGGAAGATATCATTATATAAATGAATAAGGAGAAATTTTAAGATAAATCCAACTTGAAGGAATAGGTTAATAATTATACAAGGCTTTATTTTCAAAGTGAAAAAGTAAAAATACTGGGAAATATGGATGACACAGTTATATAACTTGGCAATTTCATGTACTTTGTATTGATAAATAAATGTTGAAATTATGAATCCATTTTTATAGATAGATTAAGATATACATGTATCAAACTTGCCAGTTCAGATTAACAATATCCATTTTCAAAGTGCCAAAAAGGGCAATAACTTGGTTAAAATGGAAGCAATAGTAATTTAACTTGCCCTAACTATGTACTTTGTATTCATTAGTGTGTAAATTATGAAGCCATTGGTACAGGTAGACCTTCAATTAAAACCAACTTACCGGTTTAGGTTAACCTTGTACAGACAGACAGATGGTCAGTTCAGTTACTACAGTGAATATACCCTGGGGGATAAAAATCATTAAAGGGCCATAACTCTGACAAAAATCATTGACTTAGACTTGTCACTGATCATTCCTGTAAAGTTTGGATAAAATTGCAACAATCTTATTTGAGCAGTGGTTCGAACAAGTTTTGTGACAAACAGATGGACAGACTACTGGGAGGTGATCCCTATATTGTTTTTAGAACAACCATGTACATCTTTATTTAAAAGACCTATGCATCACTATAAAATTCATTTTAATCTTTAACTGTGAAATCATAAAAACTCCCTTCGCTATACTGTTCATGAATAAAAAAACAGCAGTTTATTAATCTTAATGTATTTAAATATGTTTTCTTTTAACAATATTCCTTGCAGAAATTTCAATTTTTACACCATCTACAATTTCATTGACTCTGCTTTGACTTCAGATTCTTCACTAGACACTTTATCATTTTCTGACTTATTCTCAGTATTTTCTGTATCACAATCAATCTGAGACGGTGTTGCCCCGTCATCACATGACTCCCTCTGATTGGTTAAATTTCCTGAATGACAGTCCATCTTTGATGAGGTCACATCATCACATGACTCATTCTGATTGGTCAATGTTTTTTCTTGACTGGTTTCTAATACACAGTCACTTGTTGAACTAGACTGTGCTTCTGTTTGATAAAGACTGGTTCCCGATAAACTATCAGTGTTGGAACCAGACTGTGCTTTTGTTTGAACCAGACTGGCGTCTGCTTCACTGTCTATCACAGAACCAGACTGTGTTTCTGGTTGAACAAGTCTATCTGTGTTTGTTCTTTCATCTTCTGTATTCTCTGTTGATTCCTTAGCATCAGTTGGCTCTGACAAAAGTATCTAGGATAATAAAAAAAACATGTTTTATTTGCCAGCAGTTCTTATAACTTATACATGTACATGTATCTTTAATTTATTATTTTACAGATAAAACAAGCCAAACAAAGAAATAACAAGAGCCACTGCCAGGAGGGGGCAACGCTCTACTTTTTTACTTTTTCTAAAAGCAAACAAATAAAGAAATTAAAGAACAATTTTTAGGTTTTTTTTTAATTTGAATAGGTCTGTCTTGTCACATATGTTGTTTAGCCCAAGTATGAATCCTTTCAATTAAATAAATGACAAAGTTAAGAAAATATTACAAAATTCAATCATTTGACAGTCAAGGTCATTTAAGGGTCAAGGTAATATCTAAATTATTCCACATGTCTGTCTGGTCACAACTGTTATTTTGTAAATTAAATCTACACATTAATAACATAATTATGAAAACTTAATCAAAATTACATGTAAATAGATTAGTCAAGGTCATTTATAACTCAGGATCAATGTCAGTTCAACCTTTTAGATGTTCTTGTCAAAAATGTTGTTTTATCAAAGTATGAAGATAATCCATTTATCAATTACCATGTTACAGTCAATTATAGCAAAAATCGATGAAAATTCAATAATTTAACCTTCAAGGTCAAGGTCATTAAAGAGCCAAGGTCAATTTGAGTTTGTTTTGTTCATTTGTTTCATTTTACACCTTTTCCCCAACAGTATTTCAGTCATATAGGCGGGTAGTTTCCTAACCATCATTCCTAGAGAGTTACACCAGTACTAGACTACCTTCCTCTGTGCTAAACTACCAAAGCATCTCCCGGGGATGGAACCCACGCCAGAGAGGTAACTGGATTAGAAGTCATCGACTCTAACCCCTCGACCACGAAGGCCGTTTGAGTTTGATATACATGAAGGTCTTATCCTAAAATTTAGACATTTGAATGAAAGTTAGTTTAGTCTCCTTAAAGGTATTGTCCAAAAGGTTGTTGTAGCCAATTATGAAGACAACATACCAAGAAATTAAGAAGTTATGATCAAGGTACAAGTTTGCCGACGGCAACATCACATGTAACAATACAAAAAAGTCTAGCTAAAAAATGACACAACACTAAGTTTTTGACTGGTCACCCTTAAAATGATTCTGACTGACTCTTTAATAAGAAGTTTTTGACTGATTTCCAAACAAAAGTTTTAGGCTGGTACTCTGACAAAAGTTTTTGACTGGTTGGAAAAGTAGTTCATATATATCAATCTTGTAAAATAGTAGTAATCATAGTTCAACCAAGAGCCAAACTTACATTATCTATCTTTTTTCGTTCAGACCATCTATTTTCCATAGGTCCACAGGTGTGAAAATGTAGCTTGGCCATCCAATTCATCATACTAAAAAAGAATACATGTTAGTATGAAATATATACTACTTTCAAAAATACATTTATTATCAAATGTTCCCAGTGAATAATTTCTTATGTCTCCTAAAAAGACCTTAATAGAGAAATCATACAATTGAGTAATGAAATTGAGAAGTTACTTATAAATTTGCTCTGCTTTAAAGAGGACACTAAAAAGTAGGGGGCAAATTACCTTTGAGTTTCTATTTCCTCTTTTATTATTTCAGAAAATATGTATTCTTCTTTGAATGCGCTGATTTTTTCCTGAAAACACAGAAAAATGTTATTTTCCTTCAATGTACATGAAGAGCTGAACATATATACACCACATATAACTATGAAATTAGCAAAATAGTTAAAACAGCTAGATACCATATTAATCAATACAAAGGGGGATAATAAATACAGCAAAACTCAATCCTAAGCATTATGATCGGGAAAACCTTAATAAGCAAGTGTTACTTAGCACCAATAGTACAGATTATCTATTTTATCATTTTTCAATTTAATATAAAAGTCATGTACAAAATTTTAATCATTTAAAAACAAAAACAGTGGAATAATGATTGTGCCAGATGATCATATCTGCATTGTTCATAATTCAGTCCCAAATTATTTAGAAATTTTTCCTAAAAATGATGAATGGATTTGTCTAGATTGAAAGATGGACAAGTCCTTTTCCATTATTTAGCAAGGTAAGGGTAAAATTAAATCAAAAGATGCTTACTCTAAGGTGATTAAAGTCAATTCTTTCATGGGAGCCATCAGACGCGTATCTTCTGTTATAATGGTCGTAGTGCAGCTGAAAAATTCAAAATCATATCTATATATATATTTGTTTGTTTGGATTTTATGCCGATTTCAGCACATTTTTGGTTATATCTCGCCCTTAGTGCCAAAAGCCGCCTTTCCTGGATACCTAGCCAGTATTTACCAATTTGTATGTAAGTGACTGACAATTAGTCCAAACTGATTTCTACATCAACAAAGGGAAAAAACAGTATCAGACTCAATGCCCAAGATCTTGTAGAGGAGAAATTTTGCCTTGCCAGAGGATTGAACCAGCGACCCTGGATTATAAATCCAATGCTCTCTAAACTGTCACGAGTATGCTAAGAAAGCAGACTTATATGTATAACAAGTTCACCTTTATTGTTTTTTGAATAGTACAGCAATCAGTTTAAAATTATAAATAGTATTACTAGCACCACAGATTTGGAACATAAAAGAGAAAAGTTTACTCTATACATGGATCATGAATATATTTCATCTTTTTTCCTATACATTTAATTGCAGTTCTTATACATACTTATATTACCAACTTAAAATTGTATTTTTCTTCTCACCAACTAATAGGATCAGTACAGCATCATAGCTTTATACTTTTACTTTTTGCATTACCAAAGTGAGTTTCACTAACTTATTGGTTTATACACAAATTATTACATGGACATGAATTAACAAACTTAAAATCCAACCTTACTTTTTCTAACATAAGTCCCAGGGCTGGAGCTCTAGGTATGTCCATCTGAAATGTGTTAACAAATAAAATAGGCTTTAATTTTCAAAACTGTATTTTTTTCATAGGGTTGTAAGTATCATCAACACTTTCAACAGTATTATAGAGTGAAATGATTTCATGTAAAACAAGAACTGTTGGAAGACAGCGACGCTCGATTATTCGAAAAACTTGACACAAGGGTGTTTCATTGTGTACAATAATGCTTACCTATATGAATACATAAAATTGTCCGAAAAGGTACAAAGGCTTGTTATTAAGATGTTTTATCAAGTAAATCACTGTTTTATTATTATGAATGCATAAAATTGTCCCAAAAAAGGCACAAACCTGTCAGTAGTTATGGAGATACCAGCTTACAAGCAAAAACTTTACCAAGAATTTCTAAGTCCAAAAAGGGGCATAATAATGAAAAAAAAAAATCAGAGTTATGGGACTTGTGCCAATCATGTAAGTTAATCACGGAGAACAAGTGTGTGAAGTTTCAATCCATTACCTTTAGTAGTAATGGAGATACCAGCTTACAAGCAAAAACTTAACCAAGAATTTCTAAGTTGAAAAAATGTCATAATCATGCAAAAAACAAATCATAGTTATGGAATTTGTGCAAATCATGTGAGATAATCACAGAGAACAAGTGTGTGAAGTTTCAATCCATTCCCTGCAATAGTTATGGAGATACTTGCATACACGCAAAAACTTAACCACAGAGACGCCGACAAATGGGTGACTACATTAGCTCGATTATTCTGCAAATAGTGGAGCTAAAAATGGTAGCTAGGTTTTCAGAGCAAACTCTATAAAGTAGAATCTAAGAAAATTCAGACCAAATTAAGTGATGACCAATCTATTGGGTCATGAGAAATACAAAAGTTTTCAAAGTATGGTGTCACCAAAAAGGGGCAATAAGATCACATAGATACTACAATTTTGAAGCAAATCTTACTAGTGGATTCAGAAATGTTGAAGACCATTGTTTATGCCTTGCATTTACTATAGACTAATGATTCACCCTGAATCTTCGGATCGGAAAACAATTAAAATTTTACCTTCTCATGATTGTAAGCCTCCTCAATGGTATCAATATTAGCATGGCCTCTCAATATGGCAATTGTCAAACCTTAAATTTACAAATGAGCCGTGTCACGACAATACCAACATAGTGAGTTTGCCACCAGCATGGATCCAGACCAGCCTGCCCAACCATGCAGTCTGATCAGGATCCATGCTGTTCGCTTACCAACCCTATTACAAGTAGAGAAACTGATAGCAAACAGCATGGATCCTGATCAGACTGTGCAGATGTGCAGGCTGGTCTGGATCCATGCTGGTCGCAAACCCATTATGTTGGTTTTGTCGTGACGCGGCTCAATGTTTACATATCTATGACATATCTATGTGTAAAAGAAGTATATAATTTATTACCTCATGCATATTTATTTCAATAATCTCCTGTATATGTGTCAATTATCACGTGTTTATATATGTTAATTATCTTATGTATTTCAATGTCGATTAAAACATTTTATGTACCAATTTCATGTCATCATTATGTTTATGTGACAATTATTGTAAGGAGTTTTAATTTGGATTCAATTCATTGACTGAATCTTCATACCTCCAAAAGAATAATACCGATGAAGTATTAAGGCAAAAATATATTGACAATCTTTCTGTAAAATAATGAAGGTGTTTTAAATTGATTATTAAACAGTCCTTAATCTGATGACTTTGTATTATGTATTTGCCCTGCTTTAAATTTGGAAGCATTCATTTGAAGATTAATGAATTTTGATGAATTGAAATACAAAAATTTACCTACAAACAGTTTACAGTCTGGCTTAATTGCATAGAAGTTCAGGCTGTTCCATTATACTAGTGACAAAAGCTAATTACTTTCAGTGACAGCAGGTAAAGTGTTTCTTACAAACTGAATTTCTTACCGATCATTTTTCTAATTTGATGCAACATAAAACTCTGGCCACGGACAGACAACACACAGAATTCTACCCCATCTCGTACAAATGGCCTTCCGCACTGTAAATATAATATATTCATATAAAAATAGGGAGTAACAGTAATCATAAAAAATAAATTAAAAATTAAAAAGATTAACAATATATTAACATATCAGGCTGTTTTTCTTATCATGGGGTTTGAAAAATGTCTATTTTAAAGGCTCATTTTGCCTCGGAAATGCATTTTTTTTATTTTTGTTAAACATTTGTTTAATAATGTTTTGATAATGGATTAAGAGCATGTAAGTTGTTTAACAACTGAAGAAAGCAGCGCTATACATATGTGTCATATGTTATGTGTCATAAAAATAGAAAAATGTAAACAAAATAGTATTTTGACTTCCATACAAAATACAAATTCACTATAATTATACTAATTGCCTACAGAGCATAGAAATCAAAAGATGGTTCATCTATATAACATTTGAGTATTTATTTTCGAAACAATAACAAGATACCAAGTTATTAAGTTTTTGAGAAATAAATATGATAGGATATCTAAGGCATAATGGGCCTTTAAGTAACAAAAGGCAATAACTTATACAATCCCTTTGTGGGTTTTAATGAAACTTAGTCTCACATCCCTATCCATCTTATATTTCCTACCAAAATTCAGAAAAACTGGACAATTTTCAAGATAGATGGATGGATGGACTGAAAGATGGACAACAACATATCAATATCCCTCTTCTGTCCAAGTATGAATAGTTGAATACAATACATCCTCTAAGGTAATTAAGAAAATTAGTCTATAATATTTCAGCAAAATGCAAAAAGGCCCTTATGGGCATCACGACTGATGTCAAGTTTTATCAAAATTGGTTATGTGGTTTTGAAGAAAAAGTACACCTAAACCCTCAGATGGACAGTTGATTAGTCATTCCTACATATATGTATATATATTCCCTCCTTACAACTTGGTAATTAACTACAGACTTACCTCAAACTCTATAATATATCTTTTGGCACAGTTTTCAAAGGGTTTACTGAAAAGTATACAATAACATTTTTTAAAAGGGTAACCATCTTTCCAATATAACCTTATACATGTACATTTTAAAGCTGAACATATTTTCTTCTTTTTCAAGCTTAAATCATTTTTGTAAAAACATGTAAAAAATTACGACAAAAACTAGTATTAACTTACATTCCAGATGTGAAGTTGTGAAAGTTATGAGTGCCCTGGAACTTCAACAGCACTTCATTCACACGCTCAATAATGTCTGCATTTGTCCTGTAGTCTAATGTGCAAATCTGAAACCAAAAAAGAGCAGACGTTAATTTTCCTCGTTATACTGGTCCAGTGGTATCTCTAATCTAGCTCAATTTATGTTATTGAATTGCCAATCTTTAAATTAAGAATAACGGAACAGGTTTCAAACCGTTTCCACTCCTTAACCCATTACTTCATGAGCATTTTGTGAAAAATGGCTGTTTTCATTGAAAAGTCTCCCGTTACAAGTTCAAATTGATATAAAACTATAAAAACTGCTTCAATACTAATCAAACTTGGCTCAAATGTTTACTGGACCATTGCCTTTGCAACAACATGCTCAGGCTTAAATTTCCTGTTACCATGGCAAGGTGGGGACATCTCAAAATTGCCAAAATCACTATTTTGCGTTGTAAGCATGAAAAGAAAAGATCCCTTCCATCTGAACGTCTGCAAATATTCACCAATCGAATAACCAGTGAACCTGGTTCGAAATACATGTACATACCTCTTCAACCGGTGCAAAGGCATATGTGGGTAGAATATATATGTATGTCCTTCCACAACAATGGTCTTTACTATTGAATCCATTTGTTGTTCTCACCGCCTCTGTAAACAGTGGGAAGGTAATCATGATTAAAAGCACTCACAAATTTATGGAACATTTACTTTACTGTATGCTTATTTGCAATAATGATTTAAGGTAAAACTTGTAATATAAAATTTTTTCAAGAAATTATATAAATTTCATTCAACAAATTGAAATATGCTTATATCAATTCAGCAGTTTTGATGTATCAAATGTACATTTTTCATTTAATTTTTTTTCACAAAAATGAAATATTATTTGACACTGACCTGTTAACAATCTTAACACAAGTTGGCATTTCATATAGATATGATTTGAACTTCAGTACTTCACTAGGCTATATTTTATAGGTAATTTTATATCAAATGACAAGAAATTTGAAATTGTTTACATCATCTGATGTCATAAAGCAAAAACATAATGTTGATAAAAAGATCTTGTTTATTTAAGAGCACATCTTTTATGTACAGCTTAATTGACTATTATGTCAAAACTACAAACGATTTGGTTTTAAAGAATTATTTCCTGATCCATACTGAAACAGTGTGTGCTGTACTGGGTATAAATAAATATTTACCAAACACTCTGATCTGTGGCGGCAGATGTTTGTTTATCTCTTCCAATAAATTCTCTTTATTCATTAACATGTATAAAATGAAAAAAAAATCAACAATATAAACAACAGGTTAAGCACAACACAAGATAATAAGCAATGTACATTGTAATTCTAAAAAGCGATCCAAAATCAGAAAAGAAAAACTTTTTTGTTGTAATATCATGATGTACTTACTGAACTGTGTATTTTGTTTCATGAAAAAGAATTAACATTAAATCTCATTCTATGAAATGCTATATTCTTAATTCTAATAAGCCATGGGGTAATTATTTGAGCAGATAAAATTCATAATTAACACTCCATTTAGATAAATTTGGGTCACACACCCCATCTCCAAAACTCATTTCAAAGCAATAATAAATCATAACTTTCAATAATAATAAATCATGATTATCAATATGTTACATATCTTTAATGACAGTAGGTTCCCAGCAGCTGATACTCCTTTGTCTGTCCGTGCAGCTCTCTGAAATGACATCTGAAAAAAGAAATAGCATTGACTCATGTGAAAAAAATCACCTATATAAAACAAGAGCACTGCATGTGGTGTAAACGCTTGTCTGTTAAGGGCAACAACTATCATTCACAAATTTTGGCAAAAAATCTAAGTTAAAAAGGGGGCATAACTACAAAAATATAGATTCCAGAGAAATTTGTATAACAACTGCACTATGTCATAATAACCAAGTATTCCAGGTATTGTGTTGATATCCTTTATCCTTTACAATGTTTGGATAATGGGTTGCATTAAAATTTTTGCATAATGACATCTACAACACCAATGCCACAGGAATTATAATAGCTAGACCGTTTGTTTGGAACAGACAAGCTTATTATGAATGAAAAAGATTCAAGACACATTGACATATTTGACACCAGACAAAGTATTGATATTCTATATATGAACAGAAATGACATACTTGTATATGTAACACTAGCCCTAACCATCCCAAAATATCTTAAACTGACATGTCCATCTTTCAATCTGGACAAAACAATTCATTATCTTTAGGGAAAATATGAACCGACTATTAGTGAACAGTGCAGACCATGGTCCAAGCAAATTTATCTTGGTCTCTTTGGTCTGTACTGGTTGCATGGGTAGAATCAGTTCACACCAGCAGGTTATTGTCACACTACATGTATATACATGTATGGCATTAAATGGTCAACAGAGAACGTTGAATTCAAAAGACCGGTCTCACTAGTACAAATGTTGTCTTTTAAATATGTGGCTGTCCAAAATATTTTTTTAACTATATGAGGTCATCTTAGAGTGAGTATTAATACCGATAAGCAATTTGTATACAAATGTACTTCTTTACAAAACATTCCATTAATCATCATTTTCTATAGATGTATTTAAACAAGTCCAAAAGAAATAGAGAGAAAAATATTAATTTTTGTTCACAAGACATTACGATTTACCTAAACAATATTATTTAACTAAACAATGTCTGTTTGAATGGTTTAACTAGTTTGTACCTTTCTGGGTGTGTCTGCATGGTCCTGGGTTATCAACCCTGCCTCCAATATGGCTTTGATTATATCTCCTTCTATTGATGGAAAACCAGGATTCCTGGAAAAATTGGGCAATATGAAATTAAAACAGGACCGTGTAGGGATGAAAAAAAAAAAATTAAAAATATAGTATTTAAATGGGACCATGAATTCCTTAAACATGAAAATAACATATCATGTAGATGAACTATTCATAGATAGAAGGTCAATCCTTATCCACTTAATTGTTACTTTGACAAATACAATCTGTATAATTTAGGTACTGTGGTACAATTTACACACACATTTGTAGATGCAAACAAAATACTCTACCTATAACAGATGCCAAAATGACCTTTATAGCATTATAATGTTCAATAGTTGAAAACATTAAATTTAACACAGCGCAAAATTCATTTTAGTGGGTAAAAGTTTAAAATAAATAGAGGATTTTTAAAGATTTTTCAATAAATACATGATTTATTTTCATCAAGTGGTATGAAAATAAATATTTCATGAGTGGCTGCAGTCACAAGTGAAAATGATAAATTTCATACCACTTGATGAAAATAAACCATTTATAGAAAGACTTGAATTTTCTGTTTGTTATATAATTTTTTACTTTTTTTTTTTCATCACAATTTGATACTTTCCCTTAAATTTTGTGTAGTGGCTGAATTTAGATGAAAGTAGTCCGCCATGACACCAGTGAAAATATGGAAAATATGTTCCACTGTAGTGAAAAATATTTTCTTACAGTGAAATTACGGAAAATGAGAGAATGGAAAATGAAAATACAGAAAATGAAAATATGGAAAATAAGAATAATTAATATTTTATTTATAAGTATATAATAAAGGATGATTTAAAACTTACAGTTGAAGTCCATAATATCCTTTCCCATTGTAGGCGATAAGGAGCGCCACCTTGCGCTTCCTGTCTGTACGTGCAACATTTGGCTCCACCTAAATATAGATATAATACAACTAATTCAATATAAAATATCAGGGTACAAGAAAGTAAATTTAGTATATTGCATAAGGTTAAAATGTCAAGAAATTATCACAGGCGAAAAATAATATGCCTGTTTCCAGCTCTTAATTGAATGTATGGATGTATAACAGCACTTTACTTGTAACCTGCTGAATTTGTACAATGGATTTGTCCTGCAATTAATTTGGAACAGTCCATTTAAAGTTTAAGGGATTTGAGCTACCAACAGTATAGAGTCTGGTCAGACTTCACGGATGGCTTTATACCGATGGCAAAAGCTTATCACTTACAGTTTATTTCAAGCATTGTTAAGGGCTCAATTCAAAGATCTGCCTTTTTTTTCTTTCTTCTTAAACTAATTACATAGGGCAAACAGATTAACCTTATAAAGGGAGAGAAATGATCTTTTTTTCAGTAAACCATAAAATAATATTAACAGTGTTAAAAAAAGATTTTTTTTTGTATTCAAACCTTTTGTTTCTTGCTGATATCACTCACTGTATCCTCTCCAGTTCTCTTTTCTCCTGTCTTACCCTGAAATACATAGTACATTTATATTGTTTGCTAATATATCAAATTCTAATTTTTCCATGAGCATCAGTATCAATATTCCTGTGTTGCTTCATGAGTGAAAATCCTACCTCATTACCATATAAAAATAATCAATATTCAAAATTTTTGTACATAGTTGGTGGTGTAAAATATAAAAAATAAACGTTAAACCTTATACATGTATTAAATACAGGAGCTAAACATTTTGTCCGGGAACATTTTATTACAATGTCTTATTTAATTCATACATGTTACTTCTCACAAACTCACAAAGACAAAAATGAAAAAAAAAAAAAAAAAACATGGCTCTTTGATATTTTAAAATTCAAATACAATAATATAAACATATATTGAAAACAATAGCAAATCTACATTTCTCTCAGTGATTTTTCTTCAGTTCTTTGTGAACAAGAATTGTTCAAAACTATCCAAAAACTAATCTTTTCTTGAATGTGACATGAAGTGTTATCTTTCTCCATACCTCTACAGATGAAGCCATGTTCCACTTAGCAATCTGCTTAATTCTCTGGATTATCCTTCTTAACATCAGAAATTAAACCCACTGAAAGTAATAATAATATATGAGCCGTGTCACGACAAAACCAACATAATGGGTTTGCGACCAGCATGGATCCAGACCAGCCTGCGCATCCGCGCAGTCTGATCAGGATCCATGCTGTTCGCTATCAGTTTCTACACTTGTAATAGAGTTTGTGATATGATAAAGTGAACAGGTATTACAATTGAATGTTATTTTTAGTAAAGATATCAGTTTTGTGTACATAAAGAAAACCCTTTTTTAATATGGTACTGCACGGAAGTGATTATTGATTAATGGGAGATAATTTGTTGGCATTGATTACTTGTTATTGGAGGTAAAAACTCATAAAGGGAGGCAATTGTTATTATTGAAGGTAATCATTGATCAAGGGAAGTAATTGTTCATATGCTTCATTGATCAAGGGAGATAACTGTTGATTCAATAACTAATCAAGGGAGGTTATTGTTAACACTGATCAACAGGAGATCATTGTTGGCATTGATCAAAGGAAGTATCTGTTGACATGCATCATTGTTAACAAATTTGGTGCCCTCTAGTTTAACTTATAAGTCTTCAGAGTACCCTTTTTTAAACACTGACAGGATGTGTACAGTGCGCTGAAGACAACACCATAGGGAAAGTCCACCAATAATTGGGCCAAGACTCTGGCACACTTGTTTTCATTCAAATGAGTAAAGTGAAACTTATGCTGAAAAACTATAATTAAAATCAATTAATAAGCCAAGTATAAACATATAAAAAACACTTATTTTGAACATAATCTACCTAATAATTTCAGATAGGTGAAATTATTCACCCTTTCGCCACCACCTTGCCAAAAATGTTTGATCATGTGAGTATGAGATTGACCTCGGGGTTCATTTAAATATGTGTGTACAGTTACAAAAACAATGCCATGTGTTTTTATTTTTTTTTTAACCAAACACTTAAATCTTTCTATTTGAAGATAATTTGCTGACTTTTATTCTACTATTTTATTTAAGTACTGAAAAATAAAAAAAGTAAATAAAAAAAAGAGTAAATAAAAATGAAATCTTCAGTATTCAAATCATGTCATGTCAACAAAGATGTTCTAAATATAATACATGCCAGTACTCTTATATAGTCTTAATGCTTCATGCGAATTACATCATACGAGGCCTGTCATGGTCAACATCAACTGGTTTAATCTGTTAATTGATGTTTCGCAATATGATATGTAATTTATTCATTCATATATTTTCATACGGGGTAGCTTAAGGTCTTCAGCGTACCCGTTTATATATTATGACATGACGTGAACGCTGAAGATAACCCCGTAGGGAAAGTCCACCAATAATTGTGCCAGGAATCTGACACGCTCGTATTTATTCATCGAACATGCCATGAAGTAAAGTGAAGCATACCTTGATAAAGCTATATATAATCTGTTGATAAGCCAAGGATGGACAAATAAAAATCTTATTACGAACATAAACTACCTAATAGTTTCCGATAGGTAAAAATTTCGGCACTTGGCCGCCATATTGCCAAAATGTTTGACCACGTGATTACGAGATTGACCTTTATGAACCCATGTGCCTCCAATATTTTTATAAATTACTTTTTTCAAGATATTGATAAAGGTGATTTACTGACTTTTATATTCAATAAAATTATATTTAAGTACTAAAAAATTAATGAAAATAAATAAAACAAATTATCTTTCATAAAAATATCGAAATCATGTCAACAAAATGTTCTAAATATAGTACACGACTCTATTCAAATCTGTTCCCGCGAATGACGTCAGACGAGATCTCGCGTGGCGCCTGAATGTCATGGCCGAATGTAGTCGGCGTAAATTGATGTTTTACCGTTAAATAGGCAATTTTAATGACGGTATTAATATTTTGATACTTTAATTGGTATAGAACGATATTAATTATTGTTTTATCGTAAAAAGCACAAGAATTGATTGGGTCAAGTGTATTTGCAAGTGAAAAATAAGAATAAATCAACTTATGTTATTCTGGTTAGGTTTCGTAACGGGTCTAATCCAAAACTTTAATGTCGCATCAGATGAAAAACAAAAATGTTAAATAGCGGCTAATAAAGTTTTGGAAGCCAGAACTAAATACTGGGAAGTCAAAGTCAAAGCTTTGTGGCCCCGGGCTTTGGCTTGCCGGGCTATAGACTACATGTGTATATTTAAAAAGAAAAAATAAGAAAAACAAAAAGAAAAAAAATATAGAATTCTATACCTATCAGCAAAATTTTCAGTGTATTGCTTGTTGGGCACTGTAACACAATGATAAACGGCTGAGTAATCTGAAAATTGACAAATCGCAACTTTCCGGCCTACAATATAATGATTAAAGCCAAGGGATTATGGGCAGCCATCTTGGATGGGAACCATAATAAGACAGGAAACCAGAACAAACGGTAGCAGTGTATAAAATACCGAATGGCACTTTTAAAACGAAAAATGTAAAATAAAAATACCGACTTCCCCGTTCATAGGCTTTGCCTAATTTCATATTAATTTAAATAGTGTAGATTGATGTTAAAATAATACAGGGAAGCTGGCCGGGGCTTTGGCTTGCTAATGTACAAATCAAGTCTAAATGGTCAGCGTTTTGTTGAAAGGAAGTGTCTGAGGATACATCTAATGAATTAATTTCAGAAGATGTAACCCAGGCACTTTCTAAAGGAAAGAAGACCTGTAAACAAGGTTTCACCAACGTGTCATATTCTGATATTGTGGTTAGATTGGGTTTCATAACCGGTCTGATCCACACCTTTAACCAGATAAGGAAAAATGTTAAAAAATCCACAGACACTTGGGGTTTGGAGCTCAAAACGCCTTTAAAATCTAAATAAAATGCATATTTGTCAATCCCAGCACATGTACTGATCATATATATTAAAAAAAACTTAATATAAGCTGTTTTGAAAAAATTTCATATTTCAACATCTATAATAATACACAAGATAAAAATGTTCGCCGGAAAAAATCCGCACCCCTACCGTCATAATCACCATGTATTTTATTCCATTTCCAATATTTTCACATAATCCTTTGGTCCATCGACACAGAAGATATAATTCTTCACGATGATGGTCAATTTTTAACTTCAACGGTAATATAAACAACGCAACAGCCGAAATAAACATCAATATTATCGCCGTTTTCCTTCAATGACATTATCTTTCGATAAATTCAAACGTGCCAGTCGGCTATGACCGAAGCCATCCGATTATGTGGTTCCCACACTTAAACGCGCTGCGCATTTTGCACACGGCAAAGCTGGGGCCACATAATCGGATGGATCGGTCATAGCCGACTGGCACGTTTGAATTTATCGAAAGATAATGTCATTGAAGGAAAACGGCGATAATATTGATGTTTATTTCGGCTGTTGCGTTGTTTATATTACCGTTGAAGTTAAAAATTGACCATCATCGTGAAGAATTATATCTTCTGTGTCGATGGACCAAATTATTATGTGAAAATATTGGAAATGGAATAAAATACATGATGATTATGACGGTAGGGGTGCGGATTTTTTCCGGCGAACATTTTTATCTTGTGTATTATTATAGATGTTGAAATATGAAATTTTTTCAAAACGGCTTATATTAAGTTTTTTAATATATATGATCAGTACATGTGCTTGGATTGACAAATATGCATTTTATTTGGATTTTAAAGGCGTTTTGAGCTCCAAACCCCAAGTGTCTGTGAAAAAATCGAATATAAAGCTTTTTATTCATTTTTTCAAACAATAAACATATCAAAAATTTATCATCAAAGGCAAAAGAATTTTTTACAAAGATATATTCTTATTTATACCCAAAGACATCTTGATTGCTTAGATTTTTCAAAATAACAGAACTGTTTTTTTCCATATCATATAAGTTTCAACAATATTTTAAGGTGAACTTACCTGATATGATACTAAAACAGAATTGCAAGTTAGCTTTCACGTTTGCATCATAGGCGCAGACATATTGGTAATTACTAAACGCGATCGAATTCAACACAATATCGTTGTCGTCAATCCTTCCACCTCCGCTACCCCAAGGCTAACTCGCCCCCCCCCCCCCACACACACACATCCACACATTCCCAAACTCTCTCCATCAGTACAATTTAACTATTTTGAAACTATTTACATAATAATTGCATTATTGAAATATTTTATTGCATTTTGGAAGAAACTAGGAACCAATTTAGAAAGTAACAACATAATTATTTATCTAGCATATACAGTGTATAGTACAGCGTAGTTCTGGCTTCCATAACTATATATGTCGCTTTTATTTTGACGTTGTGCGGCAGTAAACAGGTTAAGCAGTACTATAAAATCTGTTCGCTGAAGTCTCTTTAGCTAAGTACAGCGAACTTTGTTTCAAACAGAAAGACCCTGATCAGCGTTAACTAACATGCCATGATAATCTGACAATTCTTACCAGGCTATTCTAAATCTTTCACCATGAGGCTTTATTAATACTTTTTTATATAAAGTAGTTTCAATCCATCGAATTAAAGTTAGTATCAAGAAACAGACCTATACTTTCACTGACTATTAATTAATGGTTTGGATCTATAACCTTTTTGCACCACAAAATAGAATTTAAATTAGTCTTAACTATATAAACATGGTGAAGAAAAGATGATTCGGATAGCCTGCATGAGTACACATCCTAAATGAAATTTCTTTCTTCTGAAATAATTAAATTTTGTCGCGAGCTATATCGTATTTCAGGTTGGGTGATGCATGAATTAATTCTCGCTATTTCACAAACCCGTAGGCCTACAAAAAGATGATGCTTGTTCAGAGTTAATTTCTTCAGTCAAGTTAGTTTAGAGGCCACTATGGTCCATATAGCTCAATATTTCACTTATTTTTACAACACTTATGTCTGTTACTGAGGCTGTACATGTATATATATCGTACGAATTATCAGACACGCACGTACATGTGTATGCACAGTCACACAAACACACACAAATGAAGCTGCAGCTAGAAAACTGTATAATCATGTAATAATTTTGGTCCAAGTCCAATGAAATCTGTGATGTTAATCAATCTACGGCTTTCTTAATTCATTTTCCCGCAATAGTTTGCTACATGTAAATACAGTAAAACCTGTAAACAAAGGCCATCCAATAGAGAGACAAAACGTGGTCTTTGAAGACGAGTTGTCTTAATTTTGAGGTTACTTGAATTTCGTCAAGTTAACTAATTAGGGTTTTCAAAAAGTGGCTTTTCCTTAAAGGTGATCTTTATTCAGAGGTGGTTTTTTAATACAGGTTTCAACGGGTATTTGGAAGGAAGAATATCCTACTGGTTTTGTGAGAATCATTCAAGTTTGTGTATAACAATTTAACATGTATGTAGATGTATGCAGACATAAAATTATATGCAACAAATTAAGATTAATTAAAATGGCACTTTTCACTGCCTGACCAGTATGTGAAACGGTGCGGAATTTCCATCTTACATAATAAAGTTAAAGAAAATATATGACCTTGATAAACAAGGTCATTCAGAGGTCAATGTAATAAATTATTATTAACTTGGGGTACCACATACTGGGAAAATCCCATAGTGGCCCAACCCTTTGGAGTCGCTCGTGAAAAATACTACCTTTTTGGTTTAAGGCGTTTGTGACAAAGTAATTACTTATAATGTTACATAATCATGTTTTCAGTGAGTGCATATATAACCATGCATCAAAAGAATTATAAATCAGGCGTAAATCCGTATTTACATAACATGCACAAACATAAATTTATCAATATTACCGTTCTTGTTTTATCTTAAACGTTAATGTTTAAAGTTTTATCTTTTTACTATGTATGGTGACTGGTTTTTTAACTCTGTGATTAACTAACAAATCTTTAGAATTTGATGTATTAGTCTAAAGCGGCACTCCTCCAGATTTATGCTAATTTTCATGAAAAAAAAATGTATTTAAAAGTAAACTATTGTGAAGTAACCATGCAAAAGGAAGTACTCACAGTTCACGTAAATTACAAAACCGAGGTCAAAATATTATAAATTGTCTTTACTTTTATAGTAACGTAGTAGAAATATTACTATGAATACCGAAAAATCAGTCATTAATGGCACATAAAATGTAACTATTATTACTTAAATTTTGAATCTTTTTACTTTTCCTAAAATCTTAGAGCATTTTTTCTGGTTTGAATTTATTTAAGTATTTTAGAGGCATGCACCTTGTAAGAGGTTTGTGTATACGTCCACGGACTTTTAAGTCCGTGATAGGTATATATTAAATTTTAACAGTTACATCTTGATGAATGTCGATGTGGCTGATTTGGTACGCTTTTGTGCGTCGCGTTAGCGCTAGCGACAACACGACAAAGCGCCAAACGGCGCGTTGTCGCGCTGTCATCTTGCCGTCCTGCCTCTAGTGCGGCACGCCAAACGGCGCGTTGTCGTGCGGCGTGTTGTCACGATGTCACTTTGTCGCCCGGTTCAAATTGAAGGATTGGTTTATAAGCCAAACGACAGGGCGACATCGCGACAACACGCCGCACAACAACGCACCGTTTTGCGTGTCGCGCTAGAGACAGGACGATAAGACGACAGCGCGACCACGCGCCGTTTGTCGCTTTGTCATTTTATCGCTAGCGACAGGTCGACAAGACCACACCGTTTGGCGCTTTGTCGTGTTGTCGCAAACGCCAACTAGACGCACAAATGCGTACCAAATCAGCCACCATACTATGCTGTAGTAGTGAGGCTTCATGCGTGACTGGTTTAGTTCATTAAAGATAATTGGATATAAGTTTCTTGGAATATTGCCATTATTATGTTGTCAACGAATCAACCCACCCACATCCATTACAAAATTTACCAATATATTGTTCAAACATTTTCCCACGTTATCATCAAAAGCAGATCTTTCCCCATCTTCCTTTGCTTGCAATACCTTGCATGGCGATTTTAATCTTGAAAATATAATTTTTATTTGTCATTATCACGTTTAAAATGTACCCGTATCCTGGTGGTAACTATTTGCATCCTGGTTCCGGATATATTTTGCATATTATTCCGGATTTGTTTTGGCATGATGGCTGATGCGTAATTTCTCCGTATTCCCCCTCCACCGTCCTTTTATTATCTCTAAAACACCAGGACAAAGATTTTATATCATTTTACAGGCGTGTCGCTTTAAGATGATACGTTTTCAACAACCTTTACCTACCTTATTGAACTTAAAATATAAATAATTCAAGATTTTGCAAATGCAGACGGTTAAACGTGATACGCTGTTTGTTTTTCAAATAATATACTTGATATCGCGGATACAAGGTCTAAGGTAAAATTTAGTGATGTGATCGTCAGTTTTGTTAATAACAGCTGGTAATAAAGAATGGACCTTAAGACATCGACTACTGTTGATTGTAAAGGAAAGGGACAAGATAATGAAGGATTTGACAGGTACGGCGAAAAGCAAGAACGTGATCAAGACAGTTCACCAAAATGTATAGATATCTACTTATCGGTAAGAGATTTCTTATCAGTTTGTATTTTATGGTGTATTTTTTAAAAAAAGCAACAACACAATATTTTACCGACAACTAAATTACACTAATTTGTCATTGTTATTAATAATAATGTTAAATGCATTAATACATCCGAGGTCAAAAGTACAGTGTACACTTACTTGTAACATGGTATGTGTTTTAGTATAAACTAGTAATTAAACAGTATTACGTTTAAACACATTGTGAAAAAATTGTAAAACAACATCAATAATAATAATCACCACCACCACCACCACCACCATCATTATCATCACCATCATCATCTTAACAACAACAACAACACCACCAAAAACAACAACACCAACAAAACAAGAGCAAATCCCCACACAAAAACAACAAAATCCTCCACTCGAAAACAACAACAACAGCAGCAGCAGCAGCAGCAGCAACAACAAACAACAACAACAAAAACCCTTAAAACAACCAACAAACACTGTGGTGTCAGAAATGATACAGGCAACAATATAATGTATCTACGTTTATTTTAATTATAATACTTCAGTTTCAAGAGTAGCAACTTGTCGGAATAAATACATATGTATTTCTACAAAAAAGTTTAGCTCTATAGTCTGCTCAAGATTCACACATCTCCATTAATAGTTTAGAAAAATATTTTAACAAATGACATCCTACTGTTTACATGCGTTAATGTTGGTAAGACTAAGATTGTTATCCCCCGCTGATGAAATCGGAAGGGGGATATTGTTTTGGCGTTGTCCGTCCGTCCGTCCTTCCGCACTCACAGGAGAGTAATTATGTGGCTAGAGGGACAATAGGTAACTGTTCTTTCTCTTTGATGTCATTCATTCCGTAATGCATTTATGTGGCTATTTTCTTTTGTGTGGCTAAAAAGAACAATAGAGAGAACAATAGAGTAGCCACATAATTACTCTCCTGTTAGAACGTCCATCCGTCCGAATTTCGTTTCCGGACTAGTTCTCTGTAACTACTGGCTGGAATTCAACGAAACTTTATGGGAATCATCAATATCAAGAGGACATGCGCATATCGTCAGCTTGTTCCAGTCAGACCCTTAAACTCAGAGTTATGGCCCTTGATTAGTTATGCAGTATGCATATAGAGTAAAAATCGTTTCCACGCTACTTCTCTGCTATACTACTGTCTGGAATTCAACGAAACTTTATGGGAACCTTCAATACCAAGAGGAGATGCGCATATCGTCGCCTTGTTTCCGTCCGAGACTTTAACTCAGAGTTATGGCCCTTGATTAGTTATGCAGTATGCTTATAGAGTAAAAATCGTTCCCGCGCTACTTCTCTGCTACTACCGGCTGGAATTCAACAAAACTTTATGGGAACCTTCAATACTAAGAGGAGATGTGCATATCGTTGCCTTGTTTCGGTCAGACACTTTAACTCAGAGGTATGGCCCTTGATTAGTTATGCAGTATGCATAAGAGCAAAACATCGTTTCCACACTTCTTCTCTGCAACTACCGACTGGAACTGAACAAAACTTTATGGGAACCTTCAATACCAAGAGGAGATGCGCATATTGTTGGCTTGTTACGGTCAGACACTTTAGCTCAGAGTTATAGCCCTTGATTAGTTATGCAGTATGCATATAGAACAATATTCTTTCCGTGCTACTACTCTGCAACTACTGGCTGGAATTCAATGAAACTTTATGGGAACCTTCAATACCAAGAGGATATGCGCATATCGTCGCCTTATTCCGCTCAGACACTGTAACTTAGAGTTATGGCCCTTGATTAGTTATGCAGTATGCAACCAGAGCAATAATCGTTTCCGTGCTACTTGTCTGTAACAATTGGCTGGAATTCAACGAAACTTTATGGGAACCTTCAATACCAAGAGGAGATGCGCATATCGTTGCCTTGTTCCGGTCAGACATTGTAACTTAGAGTTATGGCCCTTGATTAGTTATGCAGTATGCTTATAGAGCAAAAATCGTTTCCACGCTACTTCTCTGCAACTACTGGCTGGAATTCAACAAAACTTTATGGGAATTATTAATACCAAGAGGAAATGTGCATATTGTTGCCTTGTTGAAGTTGTTCAGACCAGACCCTTCATTACAGAGTGATGGCCCTTGAATAGTTATGTAGTATGCATATAGAGCAATATTGTTATTTCTTTGCAACTGCTGTATTGATTTCAACAAAACTTTATGGCAACCATGGATACACAAAGGCAATTTACATCTCATTGGCATGTCCAGATATTACTATTTAACACAGAGTTATGGCTCTGTTATTTTCCTGAATATTTATCAAGTACAAAGAATATTACTGTTTATGCCATGATAAATATATACATAAAGGCTTATGTCTTCAGTTGTTGTGTTAGTAATAACCAGTACTCGGCAGGGGATATAAATTCAACGAATTTGCTTGTTGTGTATATAAAAGGTGGAGTTTCGAACAAAAGTTAAATATGGATGATCTTATACACAAGCACTCGGGGTGTGGATATCATATTTCAACATATCTATAAGTGTTTTATTATAGATGCTGAAATATGAATATTTATAGAGGTTGAAATATTTTTTTTTTCAAAACAGCTTATATTAAGTTTTTTTGACATATATGCTTAGTATATGTGCTGTGATTGACAAATTTACATTTTATTTGTATTTTAAAGAGTTTGGAGCGCCACATCCCAATTAAGTGTTTGTGATCTAATATAGTGATTGTGAAACTAGGTATTGTATTGTCTAGCGGTAGCTCATTCGTACCAGTGACAAGCACACCTAATGACGAATCACCACATTATCCGCATTATTAAATGTAGCAAGAGATAAGCAAGTTTCTATTGATATTATGTTCTGTTTAATTTATATGTTCTACCAATTCTAAATCATAGTTGTGAGGTATGGGGTAACATGCCATCGGAAAACCTGGAAATCGTGCATAGGATGTTCTGGAGTGTGAAAATGTCAACAAATCAACAAATACTCTTTCATTATTTGCGGAAATAGGTCGATTTCCATTATATATTTCACGACATGTTAAAATTACGGCCTCGGCTAATACCCTCGATGTCACCCCAATCCATGATATTTCCATATAACAGTCTCATCGCTGTTCTATAACTATAACTATATGACATATATCGGACATGGATATCACTTGGTATTGATTTGTTCTTTGTATGATTTTTTTTAAGAAACAGTAAAAGAGAAATCTCGATAATTGCCTACCCAGTGTTGTTTTTCAGCGGTTAAAATAAGAAACCGCATCGCCTCAAAATTGTGAAAGCTGGTAGATGATTGGCTTTTTAAAAGGTCATGGGAAGATGACCTCGTATTGATGCCCGTCAGATCCTAATGCGTTAAGCGTTAATTCGGAGCTGATTTTAATCAGAATGGATAATTATTATATTATGATGATTATAAAAAAAATCGGGGAGGTGTTCCGAATGCTCATTAGCGTTGTAAAAGGTAATGCTGTATTCTTTTGAAAATCTAGGGCAAATTACCATCCAGCATCCATGCATTTCACATAAAAATATATGAATGATTTTAGCATGACAACTTAAAGGACCTAAATTAAATGCATTTGCATACACTCAAAAGTTTATGTGATTCGTTTATTTTATGATCAAAATAGAAATCAAGTTTTGTTACGGAGGGAGGTAATTATCAAAAAAAGTGATAAAGTTTAAAAGTGATTTATCTCCCTTGAAAACAGGTGAAAATCGGTACCATTTTTCTAAATGAATCTAAGTTTAATAGAAGTTTGCCGTTTCACATGATTTTTTTAAAGAAATCTGCAAAAATGGCTTACATTATTTTGCCGACTTGTCCAGCTATTCAGTTGCAACAATAAAATAAAACTGTGCATGGCGTATTTAATGTAATCATTGAGCTTGCACGTGACAAAGTTTTGATAGATATATCACGACACTTGCGAGTTCAAGGTTAAACCACAGACACTTGGGGTGTGGAGCTCAAAACGCCTTAAAATCCAAATAAAGTGCATAATTGTCAATCCCAGCACATGTACTGATCATATATATCGAAAAACTTAAACGTTTTGAGGACAAAGACCAGTCTGAAATTATGATAGGTCAATTTTGACGCCCATTAAACAAGTTTTTGTTTTAAGACTGGTACCGATTCTTCGGCTATTTCAAACTTTACATTTGGAAGCCACCTTGGCATATAAGAAAATCAAAGGCTTCACTTTACGTAGTCCACAAATGCACAAGGGGTCTTCTCTATAGGTCATGACAAAATATTTGATAACATTGTCTATATGAATATAATTGTACAGAAGTCCATGTCTCCTTTATATAGGTCAACATAGAAAGATAGCGGTATGATACCGTTTTCTTTTTAACCATTATCACCATTCATTGTTAAATTTTGTTTGCAATTTACGATCAAACATTTTTTTATGTCGAATTTGAGATAAACTTTATGAACAGATATATAAACCAAGTAAAGTCGCGAAAACACATTAAATTCTTATGAATTAGAAAATCAGTTGATGGAAATATACTTTCTGGTTTTGCTAAAGTTTCTTCAGTTAACGTTAATATGTAATTGACTTTCGTGCTGGATAAGAAAATAAATTCCCGCGAAGCAAGTTTGGTCATGGTGTCACGTGATAATGAAATACCACTGGTTCCCGACATGAACGGAATTAGCGGTGCAGAGGTTAGTTGTATTTTGTAGCATTTCGATGTTTGGCAAAAGCTATTTATTTACGTTGAGCTGGATAGCTAAGAGACCGAACACGAATTGCACAAACGTAAGGAGTTTGTATCCACGTTACTTCAGTAAGAAAGTGAGCGGAAGTGAAACTTTCGACCGATGCGCAGGAGAGTACCTTACAAGAATCAGACTCGAGTCCTCTTGGGAACGCAAGAAAAAGTGATGATTGCAATATTCAACCCTCCCATTTTAGTCATAATAACAAAGATTAAACTACTTTATGCAACCCTTCCATTTTTAGTTATAATGACAAAGATTAAACTACTTTATGCTTTCTTTCCATTTTTAGACTTATGACAAAGATTAAACTACTTTATGCTTCCCTTCCATTTTTAGACATAATGACAAATATTAAACCACTTCATGCTTCCCTTTTAATTTTAGTAATCATGATGATGAAGATTTAGCTTTTTTATGCTTCCTTTCCATTTTGACGAAGATTTTCCTTCTTTATGCTTCCCTCCACTTTTCATTCAACATAATAATGAAGCCTTGACTTTATCTATCACTATTTACTTAACAGAACAGTGAATATTTCAATTTTGTTTTATGCATTCCTTTCCTTTTTCACATGATGAGGATTTAATTTTTGTCTCTTAACAAGAAAGTGTTAACTAATTAAACGACTGGTTTATGATTTTATTTCAGGAGAAAGACATTGATGAAAGATCTACAGACAAGGGGGATGATTCCAGCAATGACAGCGAGGGAAATGTTATGATTTATAATGTTCGGGACAGGCCACCATTCTATCTCTCCATCTTCTTTGGTTTGCAGGTATATTTCATAATCTAATATGTGAGCCAAATGTCCAATCAAACTACTCCAAGCTTCATCACGTTTGGAACTATTGTGCTAGGAAGCTGATTATTTGATTATCTATAGTAAAGTTTGAGGTTATGTTATTGTCGTTTTTAATAGTTGACATGTGTTTTTGTGTGTGTAAGGACATGCAGTGTATTCATCACATTTTGTTAAGTAACACTGACACTGTTAGTAATAGAAAGAGCACCGAAACACGAGGTTATCTGATTTGTACGAGGGGGCGTAGCCCCCGAGTATTAATCAGATTGCTGAGTGTTTTGGTGTTCTTTCTCTTTTGTATCATAGTCAAACATAAAAACACGTTCCCTGTTGTCACAATATGAAACCCCGGCAAAAATGAACCAATGAACGAACATCTGAATATGATATTTCTGTCGCTTTCCCTTTCTCTGCCGTCACAATATGTAAACCCCAGCAAAAATGAGCCAATCAATGGGCATGCTCTGGAGTGCGGGTAACTAATACCCGCACTCCAGTTAACGCACTGTGCATGTATATGTATACGATTTAACCCTGACACATTTTCAACAGAAAGGTCCCCAAACTATGATACAATATACATATGGAGAATCGTTAGATCTCGTGTGCCCATTCGTGTAATATTTTAGACACGTGAAGACATCCGAGAGGACATTCGAGAAGTCACATGAAATAATTTTAGTCCATTGCGGAATGCCGACCCACAGCCATGAGGGTCAAGTGATTAAAAATCAGTGACCTTTACCACTAGGCAGCGGAGTTCTTTTCTTCATCGCTTGTCCAGTACTTTTCGTGTGTTACTTAATTTAGGACGATTTAGAGGAACATCATTTGTAACTTATATCTTTCAAATTTTTTTTAGTATACTAACACTGTTGTGAATAAACGTCGAGTACAAGCCTTTATTTAAGTCGTAATCTAAACTAAGTATTATATTTTTTTTAACTTTAATATTTAGAGTAAGTTTTAAATTTAATCTTTTACTGATGTGTATAATTATGTTTATACAAATTATGCAAATTATAAATTTTATGTCCCCGATTTTATCAGAAGGCCTTTTAACTTCTATGATTTATCAGAAAAAGGCCTTTAAGTTTCAATCATTTATCAGAAAAAGGCCTTTAAGCTTCTATCATATATCAGAATAGGCCTTTAAGCTTCCATCATATATCGGAATAGGCCTTTAAGCTTCCATCATTACATATATTTGAAACTGGTACATGCTTGCTGTTCTTATTTTACATACATAATTACATGGATCATCATCGTCGTCTTTGCAGCAAGCTTTATTGTCGTTGTCCGGGAACCTGTCCGTGTCCTTGCTGGTTGCAGAAACTGTATGTGCTGAAAATGATGAAGAATTCAAAGCTGAATTACTCGGAACTACTTTATTCATGAGCGGTATTACTACACTGTTGATGACCTTTGTCGGGGTCAGACTTCCGCTATTTCAAGGTGCAGCTCCAGATTACGTCATACCGTTACTTGCAATGGCGGCTATAAATAAAGAGAGGTGTGAGCTTGATCCGGCAACAAGTAAGCATATTTACAATTAACCAGCTGGGACCAAACTGGAGTAATCTTTGCAAACAGTATAGAACCAGACCAGCTTGCACATCCCTGTAGTCTGACTAGGCCTTATACTGTTGGTAGCTCAATTTTCAGTATTTTGCTATTTAAAGCCCCACTAAGCTTTAAAATGCTTATACTGTTTTTATTTACTTACAGCTTTTCATTTTAGTGGCACCGTATATATATGACCTTGGAATCATAAAAGTTTGATTTTTAGCGCAAAACGTATAATATTATCCATCGAAACGACAAAAATCTGGATCAATTTAATGTTTTAGTTCATAACTATTGAACTATTACGTGTGTTTTGGCACCATCTGTTGTCAAAAGGTTTTATTACGCCTGGTTCACATCAAAGATATTGGAATAACAATAAGATGGGGGGATAAGGTTGTTTTCTTCTAAGTAGTCAAATGAGCTTTTTTAAAAAAACAGTTGTGTGTTTTTCAGTGTATAATTAAAGCAAAAGCTCCACACAAGGTTTAACAAGTATCTGGGTTATATCAATATTAACTGTTTACTAGTAATTTTCCAGGGCATGAAAAACTGTTAAAAACGATACTAGCTTTATTTCTCAATCTACTTAAACTAGGTTTCTTTAGACCTGATACTTATGGATGAACATTTTTTTAAACACAAATTTGATTCTATCAGAGCCCGATATTCACAAAAAGCGTTTAGTCTTTAAGACTGTTCAGTTTTTATTCAAGTACTAATAAGTCAGTCTATCTAATGTCAATTAACTTGTCGGGTAATCCAGAACTACATGTACTATATACTCGTAGACGGTAGATTGATAAATACCGCGTCAACTATACAGATTAATTGATAATAAGGTAAAGTAGGGGTTAGGTAGGGTGAGTGGAAGGTCTATCACGACGAATCGTGATATATAATTATGTCCTTCAAAATTAAAATTTACATTAACATGATTAAGGCTAGCAAAGGTTTTTTTTGCAATAGTAACATTGACCCTTAATCTGTTGGCTGTAGCAGTTTCTACGCAGACGACAATCTGTTGGCGCATCTTTGCCGTCTGGTAATGGTCCGTTTTTCAGTCAGTACATATTTTGAAAATTTTCCCTGCAAAAGTGAATGATTTTGAACGGACTGGATGACTTAAGATATTCATCGTGGTAAGGCTTAAAAAAGATATGGAACTCCTTTTTCCTGCTTTATCCCTCAGTATATGCAATAACCTGTCGAATGCGTCTATTAATTTCAGTTGCACGTGCAAGAAATGAATCTCTTCTTCAAAACACAACGTTGGATCTGGTGGCTTTAAACAGACCGAATGTTCTTCATAATACTCAACTGGTAAGTAAACTAGTCTACAAACAAACCTAATTTGTTTCCATGGAAAATAATTATATTGTATAAAAAGCTACACTTCACTTAAATTTCTTATGTATGTATTTGACTGTGGCTAGCCATAGTATGGAATGCATACGCATAACCTTAAATAATGACTTTGCCAATCGTTCAATACGTTAGGCCAATATGATATATAATTATTGACAACATTAATGAGAAGAAAATAACACCACCACCACCACCACCACCGTAACAACAACAACAACAACAACAACAACAACAACAACAATAAATTTATCTCTTTTTTTTGCGTCGATATAACTTTCATGCGCACATAACATATGAAGCAATTTTGACTACTAAGATATCCATTTTATAAAATATTAGTTATTTTTGATCCCCAAATGGATTTTTGAAGTCCATCATTTTTGTTGTTGATACCATTGGGTTTCAAACCATTATTCTTATACTTGCAGCTCCAAGGCAGCCTGATACTGGCAGGTGGTATCCACTGTCTAATAGGCTTAACGGGGTTGGTAGGGTTCTTGCTCCGCTTCGTCGGCCCCGTCACCATTGTCCCTGCCATATTTCTGATCGGTATCTACCTCATGAAAGCGACGGCAAAGTTCGCAAAGGTACATTGGGGCATCTCTTTTCTGTAAGTACTGAGTTGTAATTATTAATTTACAGACACGCTTGAAATAAATTTAGTTCTGCAAAAGCATTTTGTACATGTACAAATTTCGGTTTTTATTCTTTAAAAGGCAACTTCATAAGAACAATTGGTTAAAATAACATACAAAGATCCTATACAGCAAAAATTAAACCCTGTTGGCTTTATAAACGTTGTGCATTTTATTTAGTGTAAATACTGTTTATATGTATAGTTCTTTTGAATTGAAAACGAAAAGAAAACTACAATTAATATTTGTACGCAAAGCAATATCATCAAGCATATTTTTAATCATGATTTAAAAATTGCTCAATTTAAACATCATACTTTCTATATGATTTGAATCATTGTTTAATGATATGTTTTAATTAGTTATATAATATATTTTCTTTTTAATTTCTTCATCAGAACCTGTGCAATATCGCTTATTTTGGCTTTGTACATGTCAAAGATCAAATTACCCGTGCCAATTTGGACTCGCAAGAAAAAATGTCACATGACAAGGTACCCTTATCACCAAGTTTTTGCGGTAAGTTTGAGAACAGAAATATGTCTTTATCCCGAAATTAGACAAACATTATATTTAGAACCACACATTTAAGAGAACACCTAAAATGTTTATGAAAGATGACCAAGAATCAGTTGCCCATCCCCTTTTATCCAAATGTTTTTTGTCAATATGCACTTTTAATGATATATTTCATATGACTGAGAACTTATCATGGTTGCTCAAGAATCAAACGCAGTGTTAAAAATACCATGTAACCATGGAAACTAAGGAATTTCACAGTAAAAGAACTGTCCGTCATTTTTTCTTTTATGTTTCATGAATGTTTTCGATTGGGCATACAATTGTTGGTTTGTCTTTTATACCTTCCGTTTTTCATTGCATCACACTAACCTAGCATCTTTCATAAATCATCTTCCATTTATTGACTGAATTATCTAATGTCACTGAAGCTACTGTCTCTACTAAAGGGTCATTTCACTTTTTTCAAGGTCGATAGGGTCAAGGTAGCCGAGATCGAGCTATCTATTTTTCATTGTAGCTTTTTCCAAAGTCGATAGGATCAAGGTCAAGGTAGCCGAGATTTAGCTACTTTTCCTCATAATAAGGTCATGGATTATTAAGCTTAGTCTTAGAATCGAATGATAGTACCAATATCTTTGTTTCACAATGTTGTTATCGTTGTTGTTTTTTAGATCTTGATAGCAATTATGATTGGTTGGGCAGTATGTGGTATAATGACTGCGGCAGACGTTATACCTTACAACAAGAATGACACAAGATTTTACACACGGACAGACGCACGAAGTTATATCATCGGAACGTCTAGTTGGTTCTTCTTCCCGTATCCAGGTACACATGTATCTATTCATAATGAAGATTTTGATTACTTAAATGGCATAGGTTTATAAATTTAGTATCCAGGTGTATCCAATAATGATGAAGATTTTGATTGGTTATATGAACTAAGTTTATAGGTTTATATAATTTAAAAGCAAACCGCTAGGCGTGAGTTAGGCAAATAATTGTTTATACACGGCCATATAACATGTCAATTTTTTTTTGAAATTCTCGAGTGTGCAATGGAAATCGACGGTGAAAATTACTGTTCATGTAAAGTTGTCTTTTTTATTTATTTTTTTCTTATTTTATTATTTGAAAATGGTGCTTTGATGTAACTTTTCCTTATACTTCTAGTAATATCATACGTATTTAAATTTTCCCTGAACTTACCGACGCATGTCAAACATAAAAACTTGTTGTTTCATCCTATATATTTAAATGCGCATTAATTAAAAAATATTCTGCTTAGGCGTAAATGCTTGTAACCACTTCTTTGTATATTTCTGTCAGATTCTTATTTTATATTTTACTAAACCTAAACTAAATATGTTTGAAAAGATTATAATAACTTTTTTATTTTTCATTTTGGGGCATTTCATTAGGACTTTCCCCGGCCCAAAAAAGTTTTTTTTAAGATCACCCGTTTTTTTTGGTTTTCATGATAGAAACCCTTTCCCCTTTTATCCCGTTCTATTGGTGATTACTACGCATGCGCATCAATGTGTCGTACTCCTCCGCCGCCTTCTCACGCAGTAAATAGAGGCATCGCTATAGAAGGATTTTGCAGTACTATTGCCGGAGTATTAGGATGTGGCCATGCCACTACCACGTATGGCGGGAATATTGGAGCAATTGGCGTCACGAGGGTATAGCCTTTTCTTCCGAAGAATTTTTTGTCTATGATAAAGTTACATTTGAAACTGAATCTAAGCACACTAAGAATAGCTGGCCACGTGGGTTCAAACCCCATCAGGGTCAAACCGTTGTTTCCTTGAGCAAGGTACTTTCAATTTTCGGTTCCTTTTAACAATGGTGTTTTGAAATGCAAAGAAAAAACAAACTCCATGACAATTTTTTTTAACAACTGGACATTTAATAAATCTAACAAAAATGTGATACGACATAATTATATCTCACTGATGTATTTAAGTATCTCACTAAAAAGCATGAGATAAAATACCAGTGATCTGCTTTTCTCATTTTATACGTGTTTTTTATTTCCCAAAACCAATTATAGGTTTCCAGTCGTGCGGTGTTTTTTGTGTGTGGTGTCATTTACCTGATCTTCGGGATGATTGGGAAAATATCCGCCATCTTTATATGTATTCCATATCCGGTACTTGGTAAGCCAAACACTTCTAAAAAGGGTCATTTTTATAATAAAATTTCCGTTCGATAACATATTGCAGTTATTGATTTTTTTTCGACTTCGACAAAAGATTGAAATTGTAGGCCTAAAAATGAAAATAACTCAAATGACGCCATTAAAATAAACGCAAATTCTAACCGGAAGTGGAAATGTGACCAAGAGCGATTGTTATAATATAGGCTGGCTCCAATGGAGTCTTCTTTAAACCATTGTGTGTATTTAATCAGCTGGCTAAAATACAATGTATTGCTAAAAGATATATGAAAAGGCGTGATTTAGAGACTTAATTAGGAAACAGAATATAAGACAAGAAACAACCAAATTGTCTCTCTTCTAAATAATAGTATATTTCTACATGACGTTACAATCTATAGAAGTTTGCTTCAGGAAAAAAAACAACTAAGATTCCAGTTCTCAAAGTATCATTATAATTATTACATAAATTACAATGCCAATACATGTTCATATGGTTTTCATCCAGCAGTTACTTAAACAAGTTGTTTGAAACCTGTTTGACATTGTGACACGAGCAGTTATATCATACTTGTCTATTTCACAGGTGGTGCCTTAATCACCATGTATGGTATGTTTACTGGAGTGGTTCTATCAAACCTTCATGCTATTGACCTAAGTTCGAGTCGAAATCTGGCCATAATTGGCACGTCAATCTTCACAGGATTGTTGGTTCCGTACTGGATTGAGCAATATCCTGGAGAACTGGCAACAGGTAAAAGAAAACTTTGTAAAATTGTTCGTAATTTACATCTGAAAATTACTTTACATTTCTGACCAATCAATCCATCACGAACTGCTTTACTGTTGTCCTTAAAACGACAAAGTTATCAATAAGACAAAAAAATGTTTTGAGTTTCTGTATTGTAATATTGTATTGATTGTTTAGTGCCTGCATATTTCCGAACGACCAGTGGGGACATCAACTTCGTTAATTCCCAATTTCATCTTCGTGAATTCACAATTTTAACTTAGTGAATTTAAGTTTTCAACATACGGAATTCACGAATTCAAGATTTGAACATCATAAATTCACGTTTTTAACTTCACGAATTTACAATTTCAACTCCACGAATTGACGATTTGAATTTCATGAATTCATGTTTTGGACTTCACAATTTCAACTTCACAAATTAAAGAATTCATATTCACGAAGTTGAAATCATTAAGTTCAAAACGTGAATTTATGAAATTGAAATTGTGGATCCGTGAAGATGAATTCAAGAAGTTGAAATGTCACCACCGGTCTTTCGTACATTTTCCATCATGAAGCTGTTTTCATTCTTTTCAACACACATAACTACCACTCATGACAAATATTCATATATCTCTAAGGGACTCATCTTCATTTTTTTGACATGACGAAACTAGAAATATTTCTTCAGATTTGTATACCATTTGATAAAGGTCTAAAACAATCACTTGCGTGCAATTTTTTTAGATCATTCTCTATCCCCGTTTTTTCCAAAATAATAACTTTCGCCGTGACCCAAACATTTATTTAAATCGGGCTAAGAAATGCACTATCTATCGAATTTCAATTTCACTTACTATGCTCTGTAAATATGTTGTGTATTATATTTTGCATGGGCTGGAGGCCAAAAAGCAAATAAATTTTGTCACCGTCATTGTCAACAATTAAACTTTTGATATATTTCTATACTATCCTTTGCAGATTTTACCATTTTATGTGGTTCATTTAATCTAAATACATTTCAAATTTTGTGGGATTTTTTTTAGAGTTTTTGACCTTATAAGGGTTCCTTTAACAGTTCCCCCTTTGCTTGATTTTATTCCTGGAAAAGATAGTAAAGGTAGAAGTAATTCTAGTATCGAATAGTTTTGTGAAAATTAAAATATTTAAAACAGTTTTAAAAATTGGAGCAGGTACTACTAGTGTATATCTAATATCAATTATTAAACTATTTTAGGGAATGACGATGCTGATGAAATACTCAAGATTCTGTTGGGCAACCCCAACATGTTTGGTGGTGTTCTTGCCTGCATATTAGACAATACTGTCCCAGGTAAGATGTTTTTTTTTCAATTTGCGCAATTTTCTTTGATTATCACAAATAATAACGCGTGTTAAATTGTTTACACTTTTACTGAATGTCAAATACTGGTGCCAAGGTCTTGCTGTTATCACTGCATAAATACAACGACATTCAATTGAACGAAAATGAAGACTGCATCGGGGCATGGTGTGTCGGAAGAACGGAAGGTAAAAACGACAACTAGGTGTTTATGGTCGCCCGAATTGAAAATATTATATTTCTAAAAACTATTTTTCATATGCTTTAACTTGCGCACAAACTGTACACATTTGCTCCTTCGAAAGTATAAGAAAGTGTTATTTCCCTTTTTTGGTATTTATACATGTAATCATATTTTATTGATATTCTTGTCGCTGTATTGTTTAGGAACTGTAGCAGAGCGTGGCATTGCAACCTGGCAAAATGTCGATGATCCTACCACGGCAAAGAAAGTTTATGTGGAGGGCTATAGCATTTATAACCCATGGCTACCAGAGCGAATAAAGAACTCGAGATTTATCAGATACATACCGTTTTTGCCTAATCCGGAAGAAGGCGATATACCCCATACCCTAACAGATGAAATATTTAAAGAAGATTCGAACTCAAGTAAATATGCTTTCAATGATCTTTGTGAAATTCAATGATTCGTTTTTTTCTGGTTCTTTTATCAAATTTTGTGTAGTAATAATGTGATATTGCAAAATCAAAATGATTTTGGCTTGCAAGAAAAGCATTACATTTAAACAGAAGCTTCGAATATAATTAATGCCTATAATTTTACCGAAGAAATGTAAAAACAATCAATCCGATAATTCTCAGATAATGATTATATAGTAAAATGCTTCAAGTTTTGTAAGCACTCTCTTTTTTTTCATTTCTTTTTCATTCTTAAGTCATTTTACTGCCAATAATTGTCATGTTTTGTGATAATTATATTCCCTGTTATTATTTTATGTGATAACCTTCTATATGTTATTTATTCCAATAAGAGAACGACTCTTAAATGCTTTAATAGCTTCTTTCTTATGTGAATTAAAGTCATAGTATTCAAATACAAATTTAGTATCGATAAAATATGTTTTAACCAAGACCAGTTCAACATGAAGATGTGTTTTACAAATTGAATGTTTCGAACAAGTCCAGTGCAAACGTACTTGCTTTAAAACGACCTTTAGCCAAAGTCAACGCTATGGCAACCAAAGCTGTAAATATGTGATTAAACATTTACATTAACATTAACTTTGTAAAACTAGTTAAGTGTATTCTAAGCTTCAACCTGTTTGCCTCTGCTATGACACATATTTTATTATTATTTATGTTATCTTTATTTTGCTTATTTTTTTCAGACCATACTTCAAATTCAAGTTCAACGCATCTTTAATTAGAGTCACCGTTACCTTGGTTACGTAGCACATTTTATTCACCGTGCCACTGGTCGCCGTAGTCGCAGTGTGTCGCAGTTTAGCTGTATATAGGAGAAACGCCCAGACACACGTCGTCTTAAATGAACACTAAATATGCAAAATATTTACAGTATAACGTTATGCAATATCATAAACATATGTATTACAGTTGTACATAGTGAAGTCAGTGACTGCAAAAATCTTCGAACTAGTGTTAATATTTGTATATAAAGATACCGTATAAGTGGTTTTTTCTGCGGGCTCCAAATTCTGCGGTTTTTCAAAATTTTGGCATGTTTTTATTTCTGCGGACTTAATTTCTGCGGCACATTCTTTGGACAAAATGTGATTTAAATTCTGCGGCTCATCTAACCAAAGTCTAAGTCACATTACTTTACCTATTTTATTTGCATGTACACATTCGCATTAAAATTTTGTTTACCGTCGTCACCGCAGAACTATATTATATAGTAATTACAAACAATTATATTGTTTGCTTGCAAACAAATATAATGTGCATCAATAGGCAGTTTGCATCTTTAAATCAGTGTGAAATGACGTGTGAAAAATATACCACGGTAGTATCTTTAATTTAATAAAATTGATAGAAGTTTATCGTAAATCAGACAACAATTAATGTATACGACGATTATTTAGCAGTATAAGGGTTTAAATGGTTTTAATGATTTAGTGGTAAACAAACCCTTTAGCTTACAGGCAAACAATATGATGTTTGAATTTCTTTGTTCATAAATTGGCATAATTAACAACAATTACATCCTTACATGCACATATTGCATATTTAGCCGAAATCAATTTTATATAACTTGATGACCCGCTAACCGTTATAATCCGTTAGTCTTTATTCCTTTAAAGGAAACAGGTCATAATGTAGGACTCATTTCTTTAAAAAAAAACGTGGAGAAATATTCTGCGGTTTTTATTTCTGCGGTGCTGAAACTGACCGCAGAAAACGCAGAAATAAAGTCACCGCAGAAAAAAACACTTATACGGTATACCATAGATATTTATCTTCTACAAATGTGTTGGAAGTTAATATTTGTAAATATATATGTTATCTTTTTACAATATGGCTTTAAAAAATATGATATGAAAATGTTCTTTGATGCTTTTTTTGTCTTGATTTGCATGAATTTTATGGATATAATTTTGTAGAATGTGCACAAAACCTCGTTTTTATATGCCTTGTTTTAAAAAACTCCCCTGAAAAGCAGCAACAGCAGCAGTATCTAAAACGCCTCTTGAACAAAGACAACAACACAACAACATCATCATCGTCGTCTTCATCATCATCAACAAAACAACAACTGCTACTGCTACTACTACAACAACTCAAACAACAAAAAATTACCAACACAATACACAAAAGAAAGAGATGCAGCAACAAAAAAAAAAAAAACTCAATATAATAAAAGTAGCAACAAAAATAGTACTTTCATTAAAAGCAAAATAAAAAAATAAAAAAGAAAGAAAGAAAGAAAGAAAGAAAGAAAGAAAGAAAGAAAGAAAGAAAGAAAGAAAGAAAGAAAGAAAAAGGCTATCCTATATCCTTGCATAAATAAAAAGTATAAACGTCTTCTCACAATACTGACAATATTTTGAGTAAAGCAATTTGTTAAGATAAAAATTTAAACATAAAAATAAAAAATAAAAAATATATAATTATTTAAAGATTTAGAACATACCTCTGAATTCATGTTATCTATTAAGTGCCCAACAGCTTCAACAAGCATTTCATTTCTTTATTTCAAGTAAATTTGAGCAGTCTTATTAAAGGTGCTCCACTCAGTTTTTTTTCACATGACGAAATGGGACATACTTTTTCGAGATTAATGCGCCCTTTGCTGTAGGTCTAGACCAATAACTTGAATGCAAAATTTCAGACCGTTCGCGCACTCCGTTTATCCAGAATAATTATTCTAATTTTGAAAAATGACCCAAATTGAATAGCGTTGCAACGCTACTCACTCAAAACAAATAGCACAAAAATACGATTTTCAAATCATTTCTTAGTATGTTTCTTAATTATCATTATCTTTTGCATATTTTTCTGTTTAAGAAGTCCCGGTTGATTTAGGTAAGAAATTAAAATTTTATGTTTTCAAGCTTTTGGAATCTCAGTTGAGTTCCATTAAATATTGTATCAGGAGTGATCAAAGAATAATGATACAAATAAAGTTGTATGTTATTTTGAGTTACTGTAGCATAACTTCAGCTTGATTTCCACCATGCTAATCCTTTACCCTGATTTTAATGTGGAACAGTCCATTTGAACATTAAGGAATTTCAATATACAAAAATGAGCTATCATCATGATCCCTCGGATTGGACTGCACGGATATGAAGGGTGATCTGACACTATTAGCAAAGGCAGGCTACATCCGGTTCCGGCAGGTTAAAGAAAATTTTGTATAACAAACTTGCCATACTTTTGATGTGAAACAGGTATTTGTTATGTTGATAAATGTTAGGAACTAGTCTGCTTACAAAAATGTAGCTGGGCCAGGCCCTACACACGGACATCCAGGCTCGTACACATTATTCTGGTGATATAGACCTACGCAAATCTATCATTTATACAATTGTTCAAATGATTTGAGCTATAAGTTAGCCTTATTCAAATCGCTGTATTTGTTATAGTATAAAAGTTTATTGCGTGAAAACCAGTTTAACTCCAATTGTTTGCTTTTGGTTTTAATATATTTAAATACTTACTTGGCCAAAATAAATATTATCGTCAAAGTGCCTTACAAAAACAAATTCTGTCGTTTTAGACAGATTAAAAACATGTAAACAGATCGTCAACCAATAAAAATACTACATTATGAACCTGGTGAGGTGACGCGGGCGCTTTATATCAGAGTAAACATGTTTACAAACTTGAACTTTAAAGTGGATTGGTCTACAATGGGCACATTTATCATAAGTTTTCCAAAAAAACAAGATGAATTTATCATTTGGATATTCATATGATTTTTTTTGAAAATAAAATGTTTATATAATTTTAAAGTGATTAAGTATAAACATAAATTATATATCACAAATAATGATACATGCATTGTGTTATAAAACACTTTATTATATACTTATTAATGAAATATTGAGAAATATTGATGAAATAAAATGCGTATTTTCATTTTCATTACTTTCGCTGTAAAAATTTATTTTTCACTGCAGTGAAACATATTTTCCGTATTTTCACTGGTGTCTTGCCGGACTACTTTCTTTTAAATTCTACCAGTTCACAAAATTTAAGGGAAAATTTTCAAATTTTAATGTCAAAAAAGAGAAAAATGTATATAATAAACAGAAAATTCAAGTTTTTTCTATAAATACATGATTTATTTTCATCTTGTGGCATGAAAATTACCATATTTCACTCGTGACTACCGCCACTCATGAAATATTTATTTTCATACCACTTGATGAAAATAAATCATGTATTTATAGAAAAACTTGAATATCCTTTATTTATTATCTGCTATATATAGATATGTATCATTATGTATCTAACATTTACCAACAACGACCATTTATAATTCGTGTTTTTTTTGTGTAATCTATGATACTTCATACTATCAACCTAATTATCTATGTATTACAGACCTTCCATTATAATCTATAGACCATTTCACTTTAACGTCACGCTAGTTTTTATCTGCACTATAAGACAATGTCCTTATGTGAGATAGTGCCGAGTGTTTTGTTCGATATTTTCAAAAGTTAAAGATAACTTGACAAATTTGTAAACAGATAAAAGCAGGTCAAAGCAAACGAATTTCACCAAAACTGTAATACGTTTTGATAAATTTCCAATGTTTTCCGCGTCTTGAGTATTTTTATCAGTGTAATAGACAACCATTTAAATTTCGATAATACATGTATTACAAAACGGCCAATTTATTTGTTTATTTTTTAAACTTACGCCTGCTTAAACGATTAATACTTTTTATAACAGAACATGTATTTACATAATTGAACAATTGCGTCTGTGGCCGAGTGGTTATGGTTGTTGACTTCAAATCACATGTCACTCACCGCTGTGGTTTCGAACTCCACAATTTACTTCCAGCTAGCATACGGAACGTCGGTGGTTTTACTCAGATGTCCGCTCATGCTGAGGGGTACCTGAAGTCTTCCTCCAGCAGTGAAGCTGGCTAGCTAGTCGTCACATGATCTATTTAATGTGTCCACGTACTAAAGTCAAAAGAAAAAAGTAAGTACAATGTAAAACAAATGTACTTAATTTACATGGCACGTTATTTAGTAATGGATAAAAAAATCAAGAGCTTTGTTTCACCTTAATTTTTGGACGCATGCGGTAATCATTAATGTACAACAACATTCGGAGGTATATTTCGCCTGGAACCGATATGCAATCATATTTAATGGTGACCCAGTGTTTTTGTAAGTTCGAATTGCTTTTACATCATTATTCAAAACCTATTTGATAAAATATATGTTTAAATAATATATATAAAATAAATCCTCTTTGATAAAATACATTGATGTTATTTCATTAATGTCAACGAATTGTAACATAACATATAACTAGAATATTTTGCATGTTAGAAATATCATGTTCCTCAACAACTTAATACATACATATATATTCACGCGCGGATGCGCACATACAGACACACATACGTACATACATGCATGCCAAAACAAAATCATTCAAGAATAATCATAATTAAAGTAAAGCATTATAAGACCATATCTATAAACGATACTATCCTCTTTCCATGGAGCGTTAGTTTTGTACGGAAGCGTATCTTAGTGCATTTCACACATATATAAAACGTTTTCTTCACCAGTTTTTGACCGCGATCGAGAGACTATATTTAAAGCTGCACTGAAATTATCTTATAGTCATAAAGAGTAAAGCCTGTGAATTCTGATAGTAAAATGAGTGCGGATTCAAAAATAAGTATGGAAGATCCATCCGAATTTCGTCCAGAATTTAAGGATAAAACCGAATTCCGCGATTTCAACATACATACGGTTCCTGATCGAGTTAAAAAGGTATTTGTCATTTTATTTAACACTTTTTGTATCTCTATACATTATTGATATAACATTTAAATCACGAATTCGACATTGAACATGTTATTGACCTACCAGTTAAAAGTAAATATTTATAAATCTTGATAACTGTTTAATTTAGGATCTTAAACTTTTTTTTAAATATCATTTCTGTTTATCTTTAACAACAACTGTTTCATTTTTAACCATTTATATTGATATAATGTGCTAATTTGTTATTATCCGTTGTTTAATTTTTAAAATTCAAAAATTATTAAAAAGTTGGTACTTACTTAATTACTGAGAAAATGCGTAGCTTGTGTTATTTAAACAAAATACCTAAAGATAATGATAATCACATTTTATTATTTTTAACGTTAACCTACTGAAAGAAGGCCAGTAATATTAAGGCCAGTAATATTTAGTAACAGTTGAACATGCAGAAATTTATATGTTCACATTTCAAAAAAATTAGTTTAACTGCAGGTTAAGCAAGACATGTACAAATTTTTGACAATTTTATGGCTCATGTTTATATATGTTGTTATTATAAGGTTTACCAAGCTTTTCTACATACCATATCTAGTTATCTGCTATCACCATTCTAAAAGGTTAACCAAGTCTTTTTACATACCATGTATTGTAATCTATTATCACTATTTTTAAAGGTTTACCAAGCTTTTCTACATACCATATCTTGTTATCTGCTATCACCATTCTAAAAGGTTTACCAAGCTTTTTTACATACCATGTATTGTAATCTGCTATCACTATTCTTAAAGGTTTACCAAGCTCTTTTTACATACCATGTATTGTAATCTATTATCACCAGCCTTTTTACATACCATGTCTTATTGCCCCGGTCACATATTCACGGATAACGTCACGGAAGAGCTACGGTCTAAACGTTCACGGATTACTACGGAAAAGTGAAAATCCGTAGTCCGCTACGGTTCCAGTACGAAACACAACGGTATGAGTACGGAGTTCGACGGATTTACCGCCAAAATGTAGGTCTGCTACGGTATAAGCACGTGTTAGTACGAATATGCACGGTCTGATACGGAGAAGAACGAATCGCCACGGGTCTATGCGGTCCTATTATATCCGTGCTCATTTTTAAAATGCCTCACAAGAAAAGAACATACAGAGTTCAATGATTTTGGCGGAGAGGATTCGGCCTCACCGCGTCCGACCCCCGAGGTATATATCAGGTCCGATTCTAGTGAATTTCCGGACACCGGATCCTCAGCAACAAGCCATAAGAGTCTCATACTGGCCACGAAGGGGTCTTCGTAAAAGCTAATCTCTAGTCCACCAACTCCTCTGTCTGCTCTTACCTTATTAATATGTAATCATTAATGAAAAATGTTGATCAATACTGCTGCTTGAAATTGGCTGTTCATTTTACAATTACATTAATTATCGTAGATGTTTATGTTTTGATTATTTTCACAGTATTTTGCAGCCGAATAAAGGCTATTTCCCCTAGCCCAAAATAGAAAAATTTACCCTAAAAATGCTAACATTTTCCCCTAAAATGCCTTGTGCTCTTCCTTACAAGAACGATAACTTAACAGCATCTGACATATCAGCTAGAAGACAGAAATTTGTCCCTATAGATAGCCGCTGCTATGTTCCATGCATTTTAAATTGAATTGAAATTATTTTATTCATAAAATGTGTGGGTAAATTCCATTTTCAGTTGTTGGAATTTGATTTCAGGTTTCCCCTTTTCTGATTTATCGCGCTATATTTTCCCCTCAGAAAGCCACAAGTTTTTTTTAAAAATTGGAAAGAAAATACTGATATGTAAAAACAGCTTGTTAACTAATCTTATCATCACTCAAGGGCCAGCGTCCAAAGCTTATGAATCACTTCGTTTTATGTCTATATTTACTCCAATTTCACGATCCAATGTTTTGTAAAATTTGTAACCTTAAATGTTATTATATCATTAGTGCATTGTACTACGATATATATATATATTTGACCTCTATGCATGTCATCAAGCAGCTCGACCACTGCCTCCGCATTCTGAGCATTTTCAATATACAGTTGCAGCCAGTTAATGGCAAATATCTTTTATTGAATGTTCATGTTCGCATGAAAACGCAAATATGTCTGATTTTAACAAGAAGGTAGTATTCATACCCTTGAAAAAGTACATGTTACTCAATTTATCCGTACTAAACAGTGGTGGACAGTACTATTCCGTACCGTTTCGTGTTACAACGCAATAAACCGTATAAGACCGTGCTAATTCCTGCCTCTCCGTAGTACAACGTATTACGATTGTGACTTTCCGTGGCAATGCCGTATTAATCCGTATTAAAACCGTAGCTTATACGTAGGGTAACCGTACAAATACGTAGTTCTCCGTATCAAACCGTGGAAATCCTTGACAAGTTGGGGCGTACGGATCAGTACGGACTAGTACTGTTTTCGTACGGACCATTACGTATTAGTACGGTTAAATAAGGACTAGTAGGGATACGCTACGGTTGATTATTCCGTAGCAAATTTTTGTGCATGTTCAAAAATTGTCAAGGATCACTACGGATATACAAGGACTACTACGATTGATTACGGTTACAATACGGAGAGCTACTGACCAGTACGGTTAGCTACGGACGATGCCGGAATTAATCCGTGGCTCCTCCGTGGTCGTCTTCCGTGAATATGTGAGCGGGGTATTATTTGCTATCACCATTCCTAAGGGTTTTTATCATGCGTTTGTACATATCATATCTAGTTATCTGCTATCACCATCCTAAAAGGTTTACCAAGCCATTTTACATACCATGTATTGTAAACTGTTATCACTATTCTTAAAGGTTTACCAAGCCATGCATAAGAACCAGACACTTCAGTTTGTGAAGGATAAAATGGAAAAATGGTGTAAATTTGACCACGCCGAAATGTCCGTGTTGGAGGCATTAGAGACATTGAGCACATTCTTGGACGAGTGTGACCCGGATGTGGATATTCCGAATGCGATGCACGGGTTTCAGACTGCTGAAGGTTGGTGGTTTCATCTCAAAGTTTATTATTGTATGGAAGTAATTAATTTGAAATGAGCTTTTAAAACTTAATATCAAGCAATGCTAGATGACAATATTTTTATCATTGGTAATTTTTCTTCATTCTATGTTTATCTTGTGTACAATCGATGCACGATTATTCATAATGATCTCGAAGCCAGTAACTTGTTGTTTCAGATCTATAGGGAATAATCCTCGTGTAATGAGTAACGAGTATACTTATTGACATCGAACGGAGAATATAGTTAATTGTGGGAATACATTGAAAATATGTATGATAATCAGAAGTAATTTAAGAATGCACATTATCAACTAATTATAACTAAATCTGAAATATCGTCTTTGGGTGTGGCGTTATTATTATGACATAACGACGCTTAAAAGTCGCAGCCGCCGGTATTTGTCTCACAATATTTTGCCGTTTTATGTCGCAATGATGACATTAAATGTCGCACCATTTTCCCTTATCGTTAAATGTCGCAGTACTACCGTTAAATATCGCAATATCTAAATTCATGTATTATAATGACTGGTATCAAGTCAATATTAGCGTTATGTGGATGATCTGGTAGTTGATCTGGTGATTACCTATTTATAAAATAGGAAAGGATTTGCTGTGATGTACAAAGTTATTGATTGAAATTGAAGTCATCTTAGTCGGTATTATAAATCGACGACCACAATGTATTTGCCAAAAAGGCCCTTATTGATAAAACACATTTGTATACGTTTTTCATAACAACCCAGATGTTTTTTTTTTCATTCTAATTAAAGTTTAATCTTTTTTGTGGTCGCTCTGTTGATTTCCTTACATGTCATCGATGCATGTATGTAGTCGCATGGTCGAAATCTCTTGAAAAAACGACAACGTATTCAAAGGTATATTGGTACTGAACCGTCTGGGGCAAACAAAATCTCAATGTTCTAAAATCATTGTTTTAAAAGCCTAATTACAACTCTGTTGTTTCTTTTTTTAGGACCTTTTCACTTTTGATTAAGAGCTGTAAAAGCCTAATTAGGACTCTCATTCTCCTAAGTAGAGAGATAAAGAAACCTTATTACAATTAATGTTTAAAACCTAACCAGTAATAGACATGTACTCATTAGAAGCTTTTAGAAACTTATTAGGAAAAATGAACTTCTTATTTGTTTTAAGTAAAAAAAAACATTAAAAAAACTCACATGTAGGTTCAAAATTAAAATTTTATTTAGGCTTTTGAAGCTGCTTTTAATTTAGATTTTATTTACTTCTCTACTCCTAATAATATTTCTATTTCTCCTTATTAAGCTGTTACTACCAGGTTTATTTTCGCTAAAATTTTTTTAGTTGTATATGGTAGTAACAAAATGTAGCAAGTTTTTTATTATCTCTCATATCTAGAAGAATGGTAGTCCTAATTAAGCTTTTATAGCTCTTAATTGAAAGTGAAAAAGTCCATTTTAGGCTTTAAATTTCCTAAACAGAATTAACAAAATTCTAATTAGGCTTTTATAATTTCTAATTACGATATCAAAAGATTTCATAAAAATCTTATACCAGACGATTTCGTACCAAAAACACACGTGAAATCGTTATCATCTTATTAGAAATTTTCGACCATGCGACCACATACATGCATCGAGAATATGTAAGGAAAGTGACCGTGCGACCACATACACGCATCACAGGATTCCCCTTCTCATACGAGAAAGGGACAAAGAGTAGTCCGCCCTTTAAAAAGGGCAAACTTTAAAATACCCCATATTCTTATCATAATTGATAAGCTGGGTTAATTTAACAGATATTTTGAATTGATTTATATACGACAGTAGTAACGCAAACCAAGCGGGGTATCAGGTAACGTCCGTTTTAGTTAGCTATGAAATTTTAGTGAGAGCATCTTTTATTTCTTGGGAAATTTTGAGTTTAAAGTTTTTTCTACTTTTTATTCTATGTATATGACATAATTATTCTAATTTTTGCAAAACATGAACGTCTCAAAAACGTTTTATATGCATCAGATATTGGAGATATATTTCACACCTTATTTTCAAATATAAACGTTTTAACCTGGGGGCATTTTTGCCAAAGTATGCATGTAATTTCTTAACTTAACTTATTCTTCTTGTACTAGGAAAGGTAAAGTGATGGACTGCAAGAAAATAGATAAAACTTGAGTGACACTGGAAAGACTATACATAATTTGCAAGTCTTATATTTTACCTGCTGAATTTGTAAATTCACTTTTCAAGCTCCCATTTTATTTAGAACTGATTATCAATCTTGGAATATCAAGAAAGCCATTTTTAAAGTTAGTCAGCCATAAGTACAGAGCTGGTTCAGTCTGCACGGATGTGAAGCCTGTATTTCTATACTGGTAAATTCATTTCGGTTCCAATAGTGGTAAGGTATGGTAGGTGCTAACAGTGGTCATATTTGATCTAAGCTCATTCAAAGTTTAAACGCATTCTATGATAATTTTTTTTAATCTTCCTTTATGTCCTTTATGTCTATGAAACTGTAGCATATGCCTTTAAACGTTCATTTATCATATACATGTATGTTCAAGATGGAAAAGCTATCAATGCAATAGGTGCATCGAAGAAACACTTTTAGTGACACACAATAAGCGTTATTTCAAACCACACATGAGTCTATCAATTCAATACCATTGATAATTACCTAAAAATATAACAATGACCCTACGTCTATGAACTCAACAGTGAGTGACGTAACAGATTATTTACAGATAAAGGAAAAATTGGTCATAGTGAATCTTGTTTTGTCCTGTAAATGCGTTTTTCGATGCACCTTTCACATTAACATTTTACTGTCATCAGTTTTTTTTACAAATGATAGTTTAAAGCATCAGTTGTGGATAAATGTACAATACGAATAAAAATAATAAAAAGTGAGCTTGATTTTCTTTCAGAATGTTTCAGGGCATTTTCTGTTATCATAGGCAGCCTCGAAAATACATTTCTGCCTACAACGGCAGCATTTTCACTTCGGACATATAGCATAATACCTTTAAGTTCGAGTAAACCGCTGAAAAACATGCTTGTATGTGAAAGGCCGACACAATATATATATAAACTAGAACTGTGTCCAAAGGACACGGATGCCCCCACCGACAACATATATATGGTATATAGTGAAAAATTAACAAAGGGCCATAATTCTGTTAAATTTGGTCGCAGCGAAAAATCCTTCTTTTACTACCATCTACACATTAAGGTTGTTCATCCCTGGAAGTTTAAGCAAAATCTGCAATCCGGTTTAAGAGGATCGAGCTGCGTTCACAAAATTTCTATATGGTACATAGTGAAAAAATCAACAAAGGGCCATAATTCTGTTAAATTTGGTCGCAGCAAAAATTCCTTCCTTTACTACCATCTACACATAAGGTTGTACATCCCTGAAAGTTTAAGAAAAGTCTGCCATCCGGTTTAAGAGGAATTGCGTTCACAAAATTTCTACATAGTATATAGTGAAAAAATCTACAAAGGGCCATAATTCTGTTAAATTTGGTCGCAGCAAAAATTCCTTCCTTTACTACCATCTACACATTAAGGTTGTTTATCCCTGGAAGTTTAAGCAAAATCTGCCATCTGGTTTAAGAGGAGTTGCGTTCACAAAATTTCTATATGGTATATAATGAAAAAATCAACAAAGGGCCATAATTCTGTTAAATTTGGTTGCAGCGAAAATTCCTTCCTTTACTACCATCTACACATTAAGGTTATTCATCCCTGGAAGTTTAAGCAAAATATGCCATCCGGTTTAAGAGGATTTGCGTTCACAAAATTTCTACATAGTATATGGTGAAAAAATCAATAAATGGCCATAATTCTGTTAAATTTGGTCGCAGCAAAAATTCCTTCCTTTACTACCATCTACACATTAAGGTTATACATCCCTGGAAGTTTAAGCAAAATCTGCCATCCGGTTTAAGAGGAGTTGCGTTCACAATATTTCGGGACGTACGTACAGACGTACGGACGAACGGATGGACGGACAAGTGCAACGCTATATGTGGGGGCATAAAAATCTGATCTGAGATTAAATTGTAATTAAATCTTTCTAGAATAACCTCGGTTTGTTGATCAATCTCAAGCTGATCGTAGCTAAAATCACGACGTCTGGGTTGTCATTTGTTTATCTTTCAGTGTGGCCATACCACGTGACATTGACGTCATTTTTGGCATCATTTCCAAGTCAAATATTGCTCGATTCGGAAAAGAAAATAGCCGTAAATATTTTATTTCTGTATCAATATCTTTGGGATATGCACCAGTCTACGGGGAAAAATATAAGCTTTCCACAGAATATTGGATCTTCGTCAGTTTAAACACTTTGCATAACCTTGGAAGTTGCTTGTATTAGAGCGGGCTTCGGTTGCAAGCTATTTCGTATTCTGGCGTTATTTGGTATACGCCATGATAAATAGGTCAGGTTTACATCAACCGGGGGTACAGACAGCAAAATCCTACCTTAATATGTTTATATGGTTATTATTTATGGCGTAAATCTTGCCATTTTCTTCAATTGTCAATTCTGGCACCAGTTCCAAGTCGAAAAAAAGGACTTCAGTTTAAAGCAGATTTGTGGTTATGGATATGATATGTATAGTTTAGTTTAGATATTTATATTTTGTTACCATTTATTTGAAATTTGTTAAATACTGATTACGGAGAGAGTTTTCAAAAAAGCTTTACAAGCTTCCTACTCAATCCGTAAATTTTATTTTATGTAATTTATTATGTAAATGTGTGGATTATTAATAAAATATTGTTTAAACTAAAGCAGATTTATGAATCTGTTGCAAATGCGAAGCAACATGCCTACCGTTCTCTCTCTATAATTATGTTAACCATAAAAACATTTGTTATTTACTTTACGATTTACATAAACACAAATGAATATTTAAATGACTTTTACTTGCTGCGCTATAAGTGATTTTAAAAGTCGTAAAATTGTTGTCTGTACATGTGTATTTGTAAAGAAATTGATTTGCTCTTTAATCATTGTTCTTTCACGGTAATGATTATGAAAAATCTATATGTGTCATGTAGCAATACTAAACGTATTCAAAATAGAGAGAAAACAGAAACCCAAAACGGCAAAATTGACTTAGCTAGAATGTCCAATGAACGTGCACATTCAGGATCACTTCCATTTTTATGCTGTAAAGCGTTATGCTTCAACGCGGCAATTTCAAAGTCAAAGGGTATTCTTTTGTAAATAGTTATTTATACGTATAACCATAATGTTATAAACCTGTAGCAATGTTTAAGTAAAATATATTCAGCTTTTTAATACAGTGGCACTCGTTGATGAAAAATATTTTACATCCTGTTTTCATACCCACGGTAACCGTTTTTCGTGAACTGGATATAACTTCGTTCACTTAAGAACACTAAACACTTTTTATTTTATTATTGCATTTATTTCTGTTGATAAACTACATACCTGACAAATTTAGTTAATTATATTAGTCAATCGAGCTTTATCAGAGAGCTCACTAATACACATTGTAAAGAGAGGAAGGGAACGGAATATTTATGGTTTGGAAACATTTAAATAGAGTAGAATTTTTAACAATAATGTCTCTTCCAACTAAATAAAACGATAGGGCTATTTGGGACAATTTCTTATCGATGTGGTCATTGGCTGTAAATGCATGAATTATTGCACGCGCCATGACCTGCAGATGTCCTTAACATGATTTTTGTTGCATTTTAAGATTTAAAGAAGGACCACATATTAAAATCTAAAACATGATAAACATAATGCATATGCCAAATAAATGAATTATCTGATATGTGAATAAAGAAGTAAGTAATTTGACAGTTGAAGAATAAAAATTGAATATACTCTTCAAATGTAATCGTAATTTTACTTAGCTTATGTTAGCTATCAATAATTCAATGGATGCATCAGTGTCATATATGGACCCAGTCGTGTTGCTATTACATATATGTTAATGTAAATATTTATATAATTATTGATAATCATTGTTATGTCCGACTTTTAGAATGTTTTGTTTCAAGAAATTTGACTTTGATCGATGGCTGTTGGTTTGTAAAATCATTTATCTGTTTACTATTTTCTACTTTGTTTACTCCACATGGCGTCCATTCTCGTTTTTTATTGGCGACTCAGGGCTATTTTGGGCCTTTTTGATAAATAGAGAATCATAAGTAACGCAACTAAGTAACAATACTATCAGGTTTACACGCAAAGTTCCAAGTTATATGTAATGCTATTTAAAATTGTTCTACACAAAGAACAAAATCTGACTGATGATGAATATGCTTATAGTTAAATAAGCATAAAATGTGAACGTCATGTTAATGCGCGTGACAATTAGATTCAGGATTTTAATTCTAAATTGTGATTTTTGTTTATCAAACTTTATAGAAATTTATTATACGGCAATTCCAGAAAAATATATACCTTTTCAAAATCTCTCTTTTGAGGACAGAAGAACCTATTCGTCACCTTCACGAGTGTCAGTGTTTGTCAGTTACTCTTTACAAAAAATAGACTGAAAAAATTACCTTAAGCCTTTTTACAGTGTAACCCTTTCCGTAGCATTGTTTTAATTTAACTCTTTCTCTCACTGAGAGTACATTTATTTCTTATCAATTTCGCCATTGTGAAATAGAATAAATCACATTTTACTACATAGGATAAGATGAGCAATACTTTAAACATCTTCAAAACGAAACCAAAATATTATTTTTCGGTGCACTATTGCGATACAAGTAAGTGTTATTGCTTTAAGGAACAATCAGTTTTTTTCACAATCTCTTTGTGAAAGATCAACAATGAAACAGTAAATTGTAGAAAGAGCACGGTAGGCATGTTGCTTTGCATTTGCAACAGATTCTAAAATATGCTTTAAACTGTAGTCCCTTTTTTCGACTTGGAACTGGTGCCAGAATTGACAATTGAAGAACATGGCAAGATTTAAGCCATAAATAATAAACATCTAGACATATTAAGGTAGGATTTTGCTGTCTGTACCCCCGGTTGATGTAAACCTGACCTATTTATCATGGCGTAGACCAATTAATGCCAGAAAACGAAATAGCTTGCAACCGAAGTCCGCTCTAATACAAGCAACTTCCAAGGTTATGCAAAGTGTTTGATAAAACGGCTTATAAACTGACGAAGATCTTATATTCTGTGGAAAGCTTATATTTTCCCCCATAGACTGGTGCATATCCAAAAGATATTGGTACAGAAATAAAATATTTACGGCTATTTTCTTTTCCGAATCGAGCAATATTTGTCTTGGAAATGATGCCAAAAATGACGTAAATGTCACGTGGTATTGCCACACTGTCTTTTATACCTGTTTATATAAGTGGTATAGTACACGATAAAATAAAATAAACTATATCTCAGCAATCCCAACTTAAGTTAGTTACCGAATACCGTATCCGTTCGAAATCATCCGAATATTGACGGAAAGAGCCGAAAAGTTGCGATTGTCTCGTGTAATTTGTAAAAATACCGAGCAAGTAACACAACAAACTAAGCTCAGTCTCATTGTAATAATATACGATGGAAGCAAGATTTCAGTTTCGTTTATATGACGGTTGTCATTTATATGTTGCATTTTGAAAATGATCGGAAAATACCAAAATAACACTCGTAATCCGATACCGGTATACATAATTTTTAGACATGCCAAAATTGGAATGTTTTTAATGTAAATTTCAAAAGAAAGAAAGAAAAGTAACACACATGTTATGTTAAAAGACATGGGACATCTGTCACGTCATTTCACACACTAAATAAATAAAAATCGATTGGTACACTATTTCGCCTTTAAAGTGACCTTAAAATCGTGACAATGCATACATATGCAAATGTCTCTCAAAGTTTACTCTTATCTCAGATCATTAACATGTACTTTCAATGGTTTATTCATTTTGTATGCAGTTCAGATTTTTTTCCCCCATTTATACGGGGTTTGACTTGCTCGGCTATTTACTACACGTGTATACTAAAATCATGGAGCTAATTCTATATATATCTGTGCTGAAATGAAAATAAGTTCAATTTTAATTTAAAAAAAAATGAATTTAATATTATATCATTCGGCAGCATGTATAAAAGTGTTCACATTTTCTTGAAAAAAAAAGAAGCTATTCTGTACAAATTAACACACAAACTGTACTTGTTTACATTAATGGTGCTACTGCTCCTTTCAAGTCCCATACATCTATCTGTAGGTGGCCAAATACGGGACAATGAACAAAATATGAAGCCTTATGCACTGTTCATTCTTTTATTTGTCGAACAGAGCAATGAGAACGCATTCTTCTCCAGGTATACGGAAGGCACATCCCGACAAGGAATGGTTCCAGGTGGCAGGACTGATCCATGATATTGGAAAGCTGATGGCAGTGTGGGGTGAACCACAGTGGTGCGTTGTCGGCGACACATTTCCGGTCGGCTGTGCTCCAAGCAAGCACATTGTGTTTGACGCTAAATTTTTTGCAGGTTTCACTTACATATACATGTATTTTCAAATACACTTTTTCAGAGGAGTGAAAATAAATTATTTGTTTTAGATAAACTATAAAATAAAAGAATATCACAGTGTTAAATACAATATATGTCTATGACAGTTAAAACAAAATCTTATTTATTGGGTTATAATTATAGCAGCACAAATTAATTGCAATGACTCGGATACTATGTCCACATCTTTAAACAAACACATGTCAGCCATTTTGTCTCTTCATAATATAATCTACCAACTTTCGATTTCAGATAATCCTGACATGAAGGATGAAAAATTAAACACCAAGTTTGGTATTTACACAGAAAATTGTGGCCTTGAAAACGTTTTAATGAGTTGGGGTCATGATGAGTACTTGTATCAGGTGCTAAAGGCCAACACGTGCCACCTTCCGGATGAGGCACTATATGCCATCAGGTAAGTCTTTCGGAATGTCTCCGAGTACGGAAAATTTGCATTGTCTATTGAACGGCAAAAAGTGTTAATTGCACGACTTTAATGGAGATTGGTTATTAAATAAACAAGAAAAGGAAATATAGGGCGATGGTAATGCATTTAACTAATCAACATTCTTATGGCAATCGGAACGTCTTCGGCTAATATCTATAACAGCCTGATCCGAAGACTAAGGGAAAGGGCCGAAAAGTTGTGATTGATTCTTATGGGGCAGTTGCCTCCCTTGGCCTTTGCTTTTATTGCACTACGGGTCGAAATCCACCTCAAATGGCAACTTTTCAACTACGCTCTCCTGCTGAAAGAAGAGCTCAGGCCCTCTTCTGCCTAATTTCAGGCACAAGCTTGGATCTAGCTGGATAGAATCCTCAAATGAACTAATTCAAATCCAGCGTTCCTGGGAGAATTTGAAGCCACGTAATTAGGTGAATGGCCTTTGAAATTCGATAAATATGTTGAATAAATTACTCATAAAAAGTATGAACATTAATATATTCGTGCATAATTATATGTATATTAGTGAAGAAAGTTTGTGCAACAACAACAACAACAACAACAACAACAATCTTAATGATCTCATTGACCCGGTTGTGACATTGACTCAAAGGTGGAAGGGAGCCGCCAGCAAAGTGTAAATACACTTCATCTTAATCATATGCTAAAATTGGATACATTGTATTTTTTTAGGTTTCATTCTTTCTATCCCTGGCATATGAGTGGAGACTACAACTATCTGTGTAACAACAAGGACATGGAAATGCTTCCCTGGGTCAAAGAATTCAACAAGTTTGACCTGTACACTAAGTGCCCAGATATTCCTGACATCGACTCACTCATCCCGTACTACAGCGACCTAGTAGAGAAGTATGTTCCTGGGAAATTGAAGTGGTAGACGAATACGTTAGTATCCGACAGAGTGTTCATTGTAAATAAGTTTTTTGGTATTGTTGTGGAATGTTTGAATATGCGTACACAGATGTAATAAGAGAAAAGTTAAGATTTTAATATCGGTTTGTTTTCGTCATTGAAATAGATATCAACTTAGAAAAATTGAATTTTCATATCATGTACCAATAAATCAGCAAGTTAAAATGATACAAAATAAAGCATATGTTTTAGACTTAGTTGTATGTTTTTTTACTTTATCACACACCCGTGCCGATTTTGCGACTCCGTAAATATGGTATTGCACGGCCGTGCATATATTTTGACGTGACGTCATTAGTGTTATACAAACATAGTGTAAAGACGCGCTAAATGTTAGCGTTATACTATAGGCGCGTCAATGAAAAATGACTCTTATTTCACTTTAAATGGTCTTTATTTTGGGTATGTGATAAATAGAATATTAAATTCGTGTAAGTTTATTACTGAATTTATTGCACATGTTGAATAAAATAATATTATGCTCGCCAGAGGCTCGCATAATATAATTTTATTCAACTCGTGCAATAAATTCAGTATTGAACTTACACTCATTCAATATCCTCTATTTATCAAATTACAAATTAATAAATCGAAATAAAAAATGGAGTACTATATCATTAATCGTAATCTTCCCTTATATATATCATATAGATCTCTAATGACTCATACGCTGCCCTTTTAAATCATATACTTCCCTAATATATATGCACGTCTCTTATGTAACATACACTTCCCTAATGTAACATACATTTCACTTATATAACATTATTAACACTTCCCTCATATATCGCAAACTTCCCTTATATATACCTTATTTATCTATCTCAAGTTAACATTGGTATTATTTTACAATTATCACACACCCGTGCCGATTTTGCGACTCCGTAAATATGGTATTGCACGGCCGTGCATATATTTTGACGTGACGTCATTAGCGTTATTCAAACATAGTGTAAAGACGCGCTAAATGTTAGCGTTATACTATAGAAGCGTCAATGAAAAATGACTCTTATTTTACCTTAAACGGTCTTTATTTTGGGTATGTGATAAATAGAATATTAAATTCGTGTAACTTCATTACTGAATTTATTGCACTCGTTGAATAAAATAATATTATGCTCGCCAGAGGCTCGCATAATATAATTTTATTCAACTCGTGCAATAAATTCAGTATTGAACTTACACTCATTCAATATCCTCTATATATTTGTGAATCGCTTTAAACATACACATACGTCCAAGTACAGACTTGGTCATTTCCAAACCTCGCATCAGTAATCGGAGCAGTTTATACATAAGACGGAATAATCTTGTTGATATGACTGTTTGTCCTAAAGAATAGCTACTGTAATGCTAACGTATACTAATGGTTTCCTCCGTGCTACACCTGTATTTGTAGATCAATCATGTTTGAAAATCTGGACATGGTCACTTAAAAGGTAAAGTTTGCAGACTCCGTTTGATAACGTCTGCTCAAGAGAGATAAGTGAAGATGCCACATCGTTTTTGTCCCCTCGGCCTCTTAATCACCCCTTCCCATTGAAGTCCAAAGTTAAGATGTCATTGAGATGTCAAGAATAAAATGGTTTTCAGACCAGATTTCTGACTACTAGAAACATAAAAACAACAGAGCACTAATCGTTTCCCTGCAAGAATGTACTGAATGACAGTATATAAATAACACATGGTTTTGTGGGTAACAGTAAAAATATCATCCCGATCATGATATTTTTACTGTTACTCACAAACCCATGTGTTATTTATTTTATTACCCCGAACAAAAATACTGCGATGATCTGAAATTGTCAACTAAATCTTGAACTGTAACAAAAATAAACCAAGAGTAACAATAACTAAACTGTCCTTACCTTTTAAGTTTTAAGTGTACTTCTTTTTCTATTATTCTTTATGCAAGTAATGATATCTACCAATCATAAACATACAATAAGCTAGGTTTTATTTAGAAAACAAAACACTAACCCATTTACACGGTTATGATCTGTGAAATCTGATCATTCTGTTTCCAGAATATTCTTAGCATGGTTTTTGACAAAATAACGATGATATATCCTATGTCTGTCCACCATATCTGTAACGTTTCACTGATTAAAATTGTTAAATTATCCTTTGTTGCATGCTTAAATCGTCTGCATGTTCCAGTCTGACACATAATTATTTACATTGCAAGTACTTCCGTTGAAAACGGATGTTCACTTTTTGACTATTCAACAAAAAGATATTTTATACACGAAAAGCACACCAGGGTGCGAACAACTAAATTTTATGGGTGTCAAAGTTACTCCAGAGAAGAAATTGATGTCCTATCGGGGTTTAACGTCGAAAATAAGAATGAATCGAGAAAAAAATGGCGGCCATTTTATTTCATTTTATTTAGAAAATAGACCACGTGACCAGATATTATACTGTTAAAAAGTACTGTTACCTATGTAACAGTACAAAATTCTAAGTCACGTGGTACACAAAAATAACTCCCAGAGGCCTATGGGAAATTAGCATTACGAAAAAAATGAGGGGTAATAATAGAAACTAGCTTTTTTTAATTTTTGTTTGTTATTCATATAGAAGAAGTTATTGTGTTCGCTAATTACATTTACAATTTCTCCAGTTCAGTTTAACACTTAATATGCAATATAAAGCTTGTTTATTCACAAGAAACCATCCCTGGCCCTTCCTATGTCATGCGTTTCTATTTTTATTTTCTTTACTTACTGACGTTTTGTTTATTTCTTGATTTTGTTTACTACTTGTTTATTCTTTTTTCTAGATTATTAAAAATAGGAATGCGCCGACCCTACCCATTGTTGCTTATTTTATCGACTGTCCTATACGCATTATCAACAACTTTGCACGTGCTGAATAACTGTTATATATACTGGGCATTGTTTTACACTAAAACACGTGCATACATACGTGACTATAAATATACGTGTTACGTGTATAATTTCAAGAACTCATTGAAAACTACATGGATAGACATGTATATTATGTCGCTGTCATTGGTGTTCACCGATATAACTGCCGATTTCTATACGGAGGGGTAACTATCTTCCGTTTTCTTGGCGTATGCAGGCTTGACATCAATTTTGTATCACAGAAAGATACGGTGTCTCGGTCAGAATTATGATATTCTGACGTTGCGCTGAAAAGTTGTCGCCGAGATATAGCATCAGTTGAGGGCGCGAGGAAGATAGACACCAATGATACATTGGTCATTTATTCGATTCGCCACCTTTTTAGCTATTCTTGGTGGACTTGAAAACAATCCATATGTAAGGCAATCTTACCGAATGAAAAAAAAATATAGCTACACAGGAGTGCTTATTACGATAATAAAAGGTCGTGAAGAATGTATCAAGTATATTGCGAGTATTCTTCGATTATTTGATTAACGCACTTTTTCATATCGTTAATATATGTATGACATTGTCATGATCTGCGGATATTTATTATAACATGACTTGATGAAGATATGTTTAGACCATTCCATTCTTTGTGACATTCAATTTGGCGTTTTTCGAAAACTGGAATTTAGTATATATTTAAGTGGACTGCCATTAACATTTCAGAAGTTCGAACATTGAAAACAAAATGCTATTTCATAATGTTTTCTCGACAACGTGAGAATTGGATTTACGCAATTTTTTTTAACATTTAGTCTTTTTTTGTTTCTAAAAATAGATACACTTTTTGAAAAGTGATTACATTTGAATATGAATAAGTTTGGTTTACATGAAATTGAATATAGTAACGAGACTGCAGTTTCTTCACCAAGATGGGTAGAAATTTTATCAGCCAGTTGGCTTTGCATAATTCTTGTTACGGGGACACTGCTCAATGGTTTGGTAGTTTTTGTATTTGCCAAGAACAAACACCTTCTAACTGTTAATAATATATATGTTCTTGATATGGCTATCCATAATTTAGGCTTAAGTTGCTTAGCAACGGAACTGCCTCTCACGGCTGAGATTTGCGGACACTGGTTTTATCTACTGACAAAGGACGCGTGTGTATTTGAAGCGTTTCTAGTGTATTTTGTTGGTCTTGCATCGATGTTCGTCCTGGTTGCTATGGCGCTCTCGCGGTATGTAGCCATTACAAGACCATTCCTGGCTGCAAAAATGTCCGCACGTCACTCGGTTTTCGTGGTCGTACTGTGTGATGTGCTAGCACTCTGTTTTGCTGTACCACCACTTTTCGGATGGGGCTCATACGGACTGGAAGCGCATGGGACATCGTGTGGATTAGAGTGGAGGGACACAACCGTTTCTTTCTTATCTTATTTGATCACGATCACAGTGGTGTGCTTAGCGTTTCCCCTTGTAGCAATGATATATTGTTACACCATGATATATCTGTCGGTAAGGTTAAATTATTTTTGTTTCTACCCTTCAAAATGAATATATAGCATAATTATTTTGGCATTTACAAATGATCTTTTATATAACACAGTAACATAACTGTACATGTGCAACTTTTTAAAATAACTTTATCAGATGAACGACGCAGTTATTTACAAATAAACGTTTGTGTCTTGTATTTCTAAGCTTTTGTCGCAACGTGATTCAATTTTCCAAGAAGTCGCTTCATAAATAACTATGCTTTTATCTTAACGCTATTTTTCAAGTCGTTTGACAACTTGGCAATAAGCCGCTTGGCCAATCTTTTGTTTCTTTACGCTATTTGCCACGAATTAAGACAACTTTCCGACAAACCGCTTCGCATTCTTTTCTTCTTTTCGATTTTTGTCATGATATTAATTAACAGCTTGACCATTCTTTTTTTACGCTATGCGTCACGACGACAACTTTCCAACAAGACGCTTTGCATATTTTTTGCTTCTTTTCGCTATTTGTCACGACACTAGACAAATTACAAATTACCGCTTCACCATTATATTTAATTTCTTTACGCTATTTGTTACGAAGTAAGGTAACTTTCCAATAAGCCGCTGAAGCTTCTATCTTTTACACAAGTAAATAATTGATATTGCAGGTAAAGCAAGCAGGCGCTAACTGTACATCCGGTACAGTACATACACACACGGCACGGGCACGTAAAGAGGGGCTTCTTCTTAAACTCAGCATTTCATTTGTTTGTAAGTAAATCATTGTAAACTATACATATTTTTTCACATATTGACATATATATTTGTAACGAAACGGCTACTTGTTCTATCCACGAAAATGATATTTCCGGCAGAAGGCCGGTCTGTTTTTTCCTGAAGAACTGAGTATAATAGGCCATTTTAAAATAAAATGAAATCTGGAAATCTTATTGGCTATTCTAAAATAAAATGTAAAGGATAGTTCTTGTCATTTTAAGAAAGTTCTAAACATGATAAAATTAAATGCAAAAAAAAAGAAATTTATCATATTTCATTCGTAGCTACTGTCACTAATGAAATATTTATCGATAAAAATAAATCTTGTATTTATTTATAGAAAACACTATATTAGTTTATCCTCTCTCTATATATATATGAAAAAATGATAAAGAAATAAAAACTCACATTATGTTAAGTGCGTCGTTGTGTATAAACGAAGTCATACGATCTTAAAACTAAAATTAAAATTTACTTCTAATTCACAAACAACGTTTGAACATCTGGCACAATCTTCCTCGTCACCGTGTAAAAATTCGCTATAAAGAATACAAATAGAATAACACGACTCCAACTAATTGAAATAATAATTATATCAACCAACTTTTCTCTATATTTCAGTATCTTTTCTTATTTCTTGGACACCCTATACGATTGTTTCTTTCTATGTGGCGTACGGGAAACCAGATACTATTGACCCTTTGCTGTCAAGAAGTGCTGCCCTCGTTGCGAAATCCCAGGTTTTGTGGAACCCGATTCTGTATCTTGGTATTACAGACAAATTTAGAAAAAGTGCGTTTGAACTGTTAAAGTGCAGGAAAAGGAATACTACAGTCACCGAATTAGTAACTGTGCCCTCCAATTTTACTAACGACAGAACGGGAATACAACCAACGATCACCATACGAAGGACAATTCAAAGGATATTTACAATTTCAAGAGCGTCGGGTGTTTCAACATACCAGAATGGACGTACACCTACGCATGGACCATCGAACCTTTCACAGAAAAATAAGATCTTTCAGAAAAGAAGTGAAATCCATACAACGACAAGTGGCATTCAACAAATATCAGATATTTGTGGCATGGACAAAGACGAAATTAATACAGTTGAGCGTAACGCAGACGCAGCATGTTCCTCTAAAAGCACTGAAGTGACAGAATCACTAAATAGATTATCATCAAGTGTGATTGAAAGTTCTAAAGAAGCAATGGAAGCCTCGTCTGAAGAAGATGTAGATATAGTTGAATGTTTAGCTACTAAGCAAAACGTTAAACGCTCAGTGTTTAATAAGTCATTGGAAAACAGAACTTCCACTGAAACACTTCAAGCTACAGTAAAGAGAAAGGCCCCAAGAATGTTAAGAATAGAGAAAAACAATTCTTGTGGCGATGTTGAATTACATATTTACAATGAACCAGAAAAAAGTGAAAACGCGGGCATAGAGTCATCAGTAATGTCGAAAAACTACGAGGTAGTCATAAATGTTATAAATGACAACAACGAGCTTATCCCTATTGACTAACCTAAGAAGGAAGGCCAAGGTCACTTAAGAAACTAGAAGCAAAATTTGAAACAGATTATATAATATTCAGTTCTGTTGTGGGTGGCTACGTTTCATGTCCCTCACCGTTACTGATACAGTTGACTCTCAGTAACTCGAAATCCAAGGGACTGGGCATTTTACTTCGAGATAAACGGAATTCGAGTAACGTGGAACTTCCGCCATTACGCTGACATTCGTACATGTATTTACATGTGCCTGATTAAATGTGCAAAGAAGTAGGTTTGTTATTGTTGTTAGCGACAATGCTGCAATATTTAACCGTCGAAATGACGGTAAATCACTTACAACTACGGATTATAAATAAACAAAAATATATCAATCAAAATTTAATACATGTTTATTCATAGTGAAACATAAGCACACATTTATATTTGATTTAATTGATCATCGGACGAAAACGAAAATAGCAACTAACGTGAACCGGAAGTACAAATTAATGATTGCAAAATGACGGAACATTAATTATACAAATGTCATTTACATTGATAACACACATCAATACCTAGGCTGTTATTTGACTAACACCCGTTAGACTGGCACGAGTCAACTTTCTTAAAGAAATGTAATCAAATTTTAATTTAGTTATTTAACTGTTAAAACCAATTAAGTGCTGAAACGGATTAAAGCCATTTATACGACGTGTTAATAATACATGATGACCGGCAATTAAAAATTTCTATGAAACGTGTTAATCATGAGTGACAACATCTCACTTTGATGTCTCCGACCTTTGATCAGTCGGCTGATTTCACACTTCGACTAATTGAGATGAAAATATGTTGGACTTTAATTGACGGGACCAAATTTTCTTTTCGACTAAACAGGAGTCTAGGTAAGTCAAAATTTGACCTAAGCGGAGTTAAAATACAAAGATAAAGAAGGAAATTTGACGGGACTTTAGAAATTCTTCGACTAACGCGGAATTTTGAGTAAAGCGAGTTTGACTTATTGAGAGTCAACTGTATTTCTTAGTGATTACAGGATTAATAATATCTGTTGCGGTTCAGATCGGAGTATTTGCATAACATATTTTATTGCATATCAGACATAATTATATACCGTCTACACCGGTGCTAGAAAACCTTGTCTTACACCGGGGGTTTTGCGACTTTTAAATGATGTACGTAAGTCCCGCGTGCGACCTGTATAAATTGCGTTCTGAGAATGACGCCATTTTGCCATTTTTGAACAAAGTTGTAAATTCATACGCCACTTAAAGAAAATAGTACTACTTGAGCATACTAGTTTTTGTACTTTTTTTCTAAGTAATGATTAATATGTAATATTAAAGAAAAAAATCAAACACCGACTTTCGTCATAGACATGTTAGTAACTGTTCAACGGAGAATTCAAGTAGAGGGGAGGCAATATTTTGTCAACAAATACGCCTAAATGTTTCGCCAATTTTACAAAATTTGCACAAAAAGCAAATACTGCTCTAAAATCAGACATATTCAGCTTCACAAAATTGTTCAGCTTGGAAATATCGATAAAGTAATGATGGAGAAAAAAGTTGAAACATTCCCTCGGGTGAACTTATAACATAGTTACTGTGTTTTTTTGTTAATGCAAGAGCACGGTCATCTTCCTTCTTGAAATAAATTAGTGAACATATTATAATAAAATGCATGCTAACTTAAGTAACATTAACATTTTTCTTATGGTTTGTTTATTGAATCATGCCGTTCTTTCCTCTTATTTAATGTTACGGAATTATTTGATGATTTACTACAAGAAAAAAGACTGCATCATGTTGAAAACTAGGGATGGAATTTTACCAGATAATGTGCTAAAGTGATAATCATATATCACATTTTTTACGTCTGCAACAAGTTTGATATGTATAGATCTATTTCATATGTACTTATCATTCTTGTCATCAGAAACTGTTTCCTTGGAAACATTATTTTTGTACTTTTATAATCATCTCAATGATAAAATTACACATTCTTTACTGTTTATTTAAACAAGACTGATATATCTCGCCCATGGAGAATTTAAAAGTCCCGCGGGGACAGCCAGTGGAAGGCCATATTTGAATGCTTGCTTGGTATGGATCCATTTTGGAACTTCTTTTTAAAGCAGCACGCCTCCAGAATCATGCTAATTTTCATGAAAATTTGAAAATGTATTTAAGCTTTGTAAATTACTATAAAGAGGTCAAGATGTGCAAAAATAGCCCTTACTGCGTTAGTAACGAAGTAGAAATATAATTATAAATACTAAAAAATCAGTCATTAATCGCATATAACGTGTAAATTATTACTAGAATTTTGAATTTTTATACCTTTCCTAAAATCTTAGTACATTTTTCTCAGGTTTGATTTTATCGAAATATGATTGCATATATGGAGGCGTTCAGCTTTAACAAACTGAAATTATTCAATCCATTGTGCTGTATGATTTTACACTACTTGCATAAAATAAAGCTTGAGCTAGAGAGACTGTTTACATCACGTCTCAAATCATTTATACAATCAGAATACAGTATGACCCTAAAGAGCCAAAATCAGAGCGGAGTAAAATAAGCCCTAACTCCATCACTCTATGATAGCATGTATCTGTTGAGTATGTATACATATTCACACAATATACTTTGCATTGTTATAAGATAAACTGTGTCATTAAATTTAGCTCTCACTAGTTTCGCAGTTTCTGTTACAGATTTGTTAACATGTATATGTCCTTTGTTGTAAACTTAGTGGCATACAATGAATATTGTGAATTTGGTATTAATACTGTACTAAACATGTCTGCAATATTAAAAGTTTTATTTGTATTTCGACTTCTGTTTATTCTTTATATATGAAAATAATTTGTCTAAATTAATTTCTCACTTTTTTACCCAATTATCATGTGTATCATATTTCCTTACAAACAATGGACATTGCATGGATAAAAACTTTTACAAAGGTTTCAGCTCAAGAACCTTTAGCAGCTTTATATATTTGACTGTGAACCACGCCTTGACGATCATTTCAAAGACACCGAAGTATAAAACAACGTACTGCTATGAAGTACACAATAGCGCTCCTCAGCACCGCCTTGGAGAGCATTTCAAATACAAGGTTGAAGTAAATAACAACACTCTGTTGCACTACCTTTGGGTTCATTTCAAAGACACTGGTGAAGTACATAATAAGAATAGCGTTATAATAATGTCTTGCAACCGCTGTCAAACAATTTCACATTTTAATCTGAATATATTCTTGAATAATTATGGAGTTGGCTTCCCTATAAAAAAACAACAAAAATCATTATATATCGTTGTATTGTATATTAGCAGCAGTCTGGTATTGTGTATGTGACATTCACTGATCAAATAGGAACAGAACCAAATCACACTCAGACTAATATATCATATTACATGGAACCAGGATCATTTTTACATTCGTTCTGTCAAGCAACGACAAATAAATTTGCATTTTTAGATCGCATCTGAGAATTGTTCTTGTGAAAAGTGACGGTCCAATACAGATAGTAATAAGCATTAAAATAAAACGGACACACAATTTATAACATAACTGTAAAGTACAATGCATGCAGCCGATGAAACTGAGACTCTACTTATTGTCAAATTATATTGTACAAAATCAAGTGTCGGTCCAATTAAAGAGTCTATAAAATGGAATATAAATTAGTTTTGTAAAGAACTGTCTTGTTAAAATTAATAATGTAATTGCTTTTAAACCCGTTTGGATCATGTCATATATTTTATTTATTTTCAACTTAAGTCAAACTTTCTTTTAAACAGAAAAGGAAACAAAATAGACCAAATTAAATCTAATTTTATTTATGAAATACTCGACTTAAATCACTCATTTAATTTTTAATATTAGTTACTCATTTTGCGAAGAATGATAAGCATAAGGAAGATTTGCAAGGTTTGTGGTTCAAAAAGAAAGTCTGGCTGAAAAGATGGACGGTTAAGAATGGTTGTGTTTGCTACGCATTACCAATTAACTATTTTTCGATTTCGTTCAACTATTGTATGTTTTTGAAAAGATATTTTAAAATTTATCTAGGTCAACTGTAGATGTGCTCTGGCACTCATACTAGAGAGGTGAATATTAAGTAAGTAAAACAAGAAATAGACATATGCTTTGAAAAAAAACCAGTGTTACCTATAAATCTTAAAAAACATGAATCTTATATACAATTTTGACTACAATATCAACATCATTTATATGCAAAGTTGAATAAAATTTTCACAAGTGCTCATTTTCTCAACATGTAAACCTTTGAGTTTATAGAAACTTGGTACATTCACAAGCAGCAGAGAAACTCGGTTTTACATGACTTGGTTTAAGAGTATGTCGCAAGTAATCACTGGTATGTGACTTTTATGTCAAATAAAAGTAGGATCAGTCAAACACATATATCATGTTAAAAGTGGCCAAAATGTCCTTATAATCCAGAAAGCATTTTGTACATCACGAAACGACATATATAATTGTTAGCCTTTGATAGCGCCTTTATGGCTGGTCATCTTTGTTGTATATATGTATTTAAGTACCCTAGTCTTTAAAAGTCCATGCGCCTCAAATTTTAACAAAACGCATAATGTTGCTTCTTTTATGGTGTCTAAACCTACAAAAATGGATACTTATTATGCTTTTCTTATACCAAGTGTATATAAGACGTTGAATAACAATAGTAAAACAAAATATAAATGGCCTCGTTCTTGATGGATCAAATTTGTCTGCTGTACAAAATGATACATTTGATACATTTAATGTATCAGAACCCCTACAAAATTATGTTGTGTTACTAGTTAGTGTCATCACATTTACCATAATTATTGAAAAGGGTGTAAAGTTTGGACTCCCAAGTGTACGGCTTTGGAACGGGCGTAGCTGGTTATGCGTATCCAGGAGGTATAGAGCTAACATTGTCAGATAAATGCCAGACATTCTATTAAAACCACTGCTCTAATGATATAAGTTCCTGGTCCTTCGAGATCATTGATTCCAGCACATTAATGTTGAAGAATAAATGAGGCGGTGCTAGTGGGCGTGAGAGATATTGTACTTTTACATTATCTCATATGAATACACTCTGTCTGTATCTATAGCATAGCATGTCGCGGTTTTGTGATATTTTCAAAAGTGATGCCCCTTTAGTGACTTTCCAGTAACATTTTGTAAGTACTCTCTTGAATAATTGTACATTTAAGCTATTTGAGGGAGTTTGTTTAAAGTGTTCACAAAAAAAGATAATGTACATTGCGAGAATATACGGCAGACGTTTTTTGATGAATTCTTTCGTGTCTGGATGCATTGGTTGAATAACGGTGTGTTATGTTAACAATTGAACAACAAGATATATTTGGCCTTGGGTAGATTATCAATAAAAAAAAATATTGTTCTTATTTGTATATCACTGTCTATCACCCGGGCATTAAAATACTTTTGTAATGATTTTTATACAAATGTATACATGGTTTTATGTTGAAGATTACCGCCATTATCATTATTATTAAACTCGCAATGATTATCAAAGGTCATATCGTTTTTGATTTAAACACGTTTGTTCATGTGTCAATTGAATGAACGTGTATGATCGAACTTGAGTATTATCAACTTTCAAGTTCATCAAAATGTTTTCTTTTTGTTTAATAGTTTAGTGAATATCCTCAAGTGTTCATTTTTTTATCATTACACCGATACCATGTCTCGATTTTCACCCCACTTATTATAGTTAATGATATTTGATTTAATCTGTGTTTTAATGATTGCTTTTAAAGTGGATTGGTCTACAATGGATATATTTTCAATACAAAATTCAAATATTGATAAAAAAAACAACAACAAACATCAATCATTTAGATATATTTACGAATATTTCATTGAAATAAAGTTGTTCAAAGTGATTTTTATAGAATTTATCGAATGAATGATAATATTTTGTTCTAAAACAATTCTTTTCTCATATGTATAATTATCTAATGTCAGATCATGTACCTGTCACTGAACAACAATGTTAACATACAGATATAATTCTTTCGCAGTTTGTTTGTCACATGTAATAACATAATTATTTAAGGTATTGTGTGCCATCGATTGAAGACCAATCCAATTTTACATTTTTATATGCTTTGCTTTTCAATTTTAGATCGTAGATAGATAGTAGTTAAACAGGGTAGGGTCTTTATAAAAGGCGATGAATTAGAAAATGATCGCCATTATATAAAAACCAAAATTCCGACTGAATTGTAGGTTCATCAAATCTATCTCATTTACAGTATTGAAATAATTAAGATATTTCTTTATAAAGCATTGAGTAATTAACGTAAACAACACCTTCCTTCTGTTCTATCAATGCAGAACAAATGGAAAAAGAAAACATAGATAAATCGAAAATAAAATCGGGAAAATAAAGAAAACGTTAACAAAAAATATTTCCATGTATATCATGCAATACGACCAATCTACCATCAAATTGGTTTATTAATCTTTCTATTTTAAATAAAATTGTGTTATGTGTTTATGTAAGTTTATAAACATCCCTTTTCAAATAATTTATGTAGATTTGACCTTCAAAGATATATTTTTTTATAATATTAAGAAAATCGTGCGCTTTGAAAAAATATTTTTTTTATATAATATTAAGAAAATCGTGCGCTTTGGTCTTGACGCTAGCTTATAAACTAACTTAGTAAACATTTTACCACACTTTTGATTTTCTTTTCTGTACAATCAATTTAATAACACCATTTTCCATTCGTTTAATTAAATGGCCTTTCTATCATTTAAAGAACATGCGGCTATGATTTAGGAGACAATTAAATTAGAAAAGACCCAAAAACTTCCAATATAAAATTTTCATTCTCTTGTTGTAGTGATTAAATGAGTGTTCCTATAGAAGTAGGCCCTTATCCCACTTGGCACCATTGTTGTGCTGTTGAAAATTTAAAGCTTTCTGTTTCTATAAATAGAATTGAGTTACTTATTACTTAATATTTACTTTTGATGTTCTAATTTTGCTCAGGATTACTCTTTAATGGGATAAATCTAATAATCAGGATGACACCACCCTTTGAATGCAAAGGGAAATAAAATACAAATGTTGAATATACTTAAATCCACCAATTTTGTAATGAACTAAGTTTTTATTTACACTAAACTATATGTTACTTAAAGCTAAACAAGTTATCAATGTGTACTTAAATATAAACTGTTAATATTTAAATCAAAATTGTGATTATCAAAGTTAACTAGCTAAATAAAAGATTTAAACCAGTTAAAAGTTGTTAAAAATGTAATAACTGAAAATATAAAAATGACATTAATGATTCTGTGCTGTTAAACTAATAACCCTATATAGTAGCAAGCCCTGTTCTAATCTGTATCAACAAAAAATAAAGATCTAATAATTCAAGATGGATGTCACTTAAAACAAAGAAAAGATGTAAATTAATCTGAATCAATTCTGTAAAAAGAAATTACTAAAATTAGTTACAAATTTATCAAAAATATTTCAGTGAATTTAGATAATCTCTAAGGTTTATACTTAATGCCAAAGTGCCTAAAATAGATTAAATACTTAATAAACCTAAGAGAGCTTTAAGAGATGTTACTTCTGCAGAAAATAGCAACAGAATGCCAGAACTCCCTGAGATGCCTGGTTAAATGAACTTCTGAATCCCAGAGGGAGCCAGCATCTACATACAGGTGGCACTGTATGTAATAACTCATCAGATTGGTCAGATGACCATTGACCAGAAATCTACTTAAAAATTGCTTTACGCTTATTAGTTCTTTACATAACAATTCTAAAACAGATTATGATTCATGGAAATGTTTAACATGAAACAACATAAACATTTTCTACAAAAGATGATAATATTGACTAAGTATTACAAAGTAATCAAAAGAGTCAAAATACTAAGATTAGTCTAAGAACTACACATATTTATAAACATATATAATATATAAGTGCAATTATTGTAAATTAGTATTTCAAATAAATTATATTCCAAATGGAAGTAAAAACATCCACTTTGTTAACATTTTGCTAATTTTATCATAATTTATTTCACATTCAAAGTTATTTTCTTTAGGTGATAAAGATAAAAAACATGTTTGTCTTTTCAACAGAATATTTTTTTAACTCATTTATCGGACATAATGTGCCTTTAAATACAAGCATCATTCTTTGAACACTTACTCAGAAATAACCACAACTACAGCGCCACAATGATGAATTCATTTCAAATGCCCCTTGTATGTTGTGGCCGTTTTAAAAATTTCTGATTAAAATGATATTCCCATGAGACAAGCTCATTCTATATTATTTACTCAATTTTTGTTTCATGTAAAAAGTTTACTATTCCATTATTGGAACGAAGCGTGTTTTTAAGAATAAAACTTCAAGGACTGCCATGGTATCGTCATCACGTGTTCCAGAAAGAAGACACATTCAGAGCAAATAAACAATTTTTTCAGGCCATTATGCAACATAAGTTGTAATGACGTGCTGTTGAGTTCAGTAACACAAAAATGGATGTAAATACTATTATAGTATACCATAGAAGAAACGATAGTGCATATTTATCAAAACAAGGTGACAATAATATACATTCATAACATTGAAATAACATTGAAATACAACAATGCATTATAATGGAATCATTCTGCTGCTAACTTCTAACAAATATTCTACAATAACATACAGCAAGTAAATCATTATTACAAACTACATAAACACACATATTGATTGTCTTCATGTTGTTTGTGTCTTATAGGCCCATTGGGCCGGGTGTATACTATTGTTTATACATGCCTTGTTTGTTCATTGCTTGTATGTTTACATATGACACATTAATAAAATATTTACTTACTTACTTACTTACTTACTTATTGATATGTATGATAAACTTGTTAAGACTATGTTATTATAATCCAATGGCGTTTATTAACTTTACCACTTGCTTTTGTTGGTCAGATATTTTTAGCACAAGTTATAAATAGTTTGTTATCGTCATAAATAATCTCTAATGAAGTTTTTCCATTGACAAACGAATGTATTGGTGTAGAAATGAATATAATGGTCAAATGTTTTTGAAAAGTTTGTTTATTTTAAAACTTTTTGCCATGATTATCATGGTATCTTTTGAACATTTGCATCAGTTCCCTCCATTTCGCCTGAAATAAACAGATTTGGCAATAAGCTGTATTTGACATTATTCAAAATCACTTAAAATATAATCCTATTAACAGAAAATACATACCGACACATATTGTTTGTAAATATTAAAGTTAGTGGTGTAGGGCAAATATTCTGACAAATTTAACTATAATGTATGAACAATTCATGAACTTTAAATACGTCATAAATGGGAATCAAATTTTTAAGATGAAAGTATATTTTAAAAGAATACATATTCTAAAGCAAAGTAGCCATGGCAGATGGCACACAAGAGATACAGTGCTAGGAAATGCAACAATTCTTCAATGGAGAGTTTGATTATTAGTTATTTTGGTGATGCCATTTTTAATCCAACTTGCTTTATATTTAAACAATTGTAGATGCTTACTAGAAGATGCTACATCATAAATATCAAGGTTGTTCACACAATATGCTTAACATAGTATTACTAACATATTATTATATTATATCATTAACATGAAACATAACTTTACAAAAGAGCGTTACTGCAAAAAGCGTCTTTAATAGACACATTGTTATCACAAATGCTTAGATGAGCTTAAACACTCCAAAAGAAGTGAAACAAACAACGCATTTTGAAAAATCAGAAACTAACATCAATCAAGCCAAGCACATGAACTGATATTTAAATTTTCCTAACATTCTGAACAAGAAATATCTGTAAAAAGATACTCGGCCGAAGTAGAAAATGGCTAACTTGCATCTTCGATACCTATACGAGAAATGTTAACAATGCTTACAAAACAATGACATAATAATTACTTGTAGGTAAAAAAACAAAACCCATTTTGTAAACATAGAAATTAGATTATAAGCATATTGATATTGATGTTCCTATAACTTGTTTTTACGTTAAACTTTGACTTTATAAAAGTTGTAATAATATGCAATATTGACAGAATTATTTAATGACTCACATATGAAACTTTGCAAAATGGAATAAAAGGATAATAAAATTCTGAAATTATTAACATTATATCAATTGAACACACCGATTCATTAAACATCATAACCTAATGCCTGATAAGGTCTTATATCGTGGCGTGTTTTTCGATATTTTTATCATTACAGGAAAGTGAACGTTATTGGTGGTCTCGTTGGAGCATTTTCATAGACTGCACGGGTAATAAAGACGTACCATCTATGTTGTACGTACCGGTTTAGGCAAAACTTACCATTTGAAAAGGAATACGAGCTTTTGCGTCAGAGGACAAACATTAAAAGTACGCAGCATCTCTTTTCATTTTTTTACAATTCTTATGGACAGATACTGAAATAGTCCCGAAAGAAAGGTAAAAATATAGAAGAACAAAAAAATCAAAACAAACAAATAAATGCAACAAGAATAGAGTGCTGAGAGACCATGGACATTTGAAAATAAATATCAGGAAGACAAATTACAGTTATAACCAGCCAATGATTTATATAATTTGATTCCCACCTTCAATTTGCGCATTTCTTCCTGAGTTTCGTCGTAAAGATCATCAGGACCATTGACCATGTGCTTGAAATCCTTAAAAAGACCACACATTACTATTAGTTAATAAGAAATACAAAAACAACAACAACAACAACAAAAAAAACGCACACAAAACAACAACAAAAACAAACTATAAAAAAACAACAAAAAGCAACAAAAACAAACAAACCCCCAAACAACAACAACAAAAAACAACTTCCAAAAAATATACTTGGCAGTTAATCTGTGGACTTAAAAGCTTTCAAAAGCTCAACACATTCAATATTCTATCAACTGAAATGACAACATATCTTTTAATTATTTCATTATCTATTTTTTGATTAAATAAACATGATAGTTTTTGTCAAGGTTGTTTAAGAAGTTATATGCAAGTGCATTATATAATATTATAATATATAGACAGATTTTTCATTAACCTGTGCAATAGTAACGGTGCATTTGAAGTCTGCGACAGATTAAATTAGACGATTCGCAAGTCTGAAAGAAGAATATAGTGCTGAGAGACCATGGACATTTGAAAATAAATATCAGGAAGACAAATTACAGTTATAACCAGCCAATGATTTATATAATTGAATTTGAATTCACCTTCAATTTGCGCATTTCTTCTTGAGTTTCGTCGCATAGATCATCAGGACCATTAACCATGTGCTTGAAATCCTTAAAAAGACCACACATTCACTATTAGTTAAAAAAGAAATACAAAAAACAACCAAACAAAAAAACGCACACAAACAACAACAATAACAAATAAAAAACCAACAAAAAACAATAACAACAAACAAACCCCTAAACAACAAGAACAACTAGTTATGTCAAGGTTGTTTAAGAAGCTATATGCAAGTGCATTAAATAATATTATAATATATAAACAGAATTTTCATTGACCTGTGCAATAGTAACGGTGCAATTGAAGTCTGCGACAGATTAAATTAGAAGATTCACAAGATAGTGCTGAGAGACCATGGACATTTGAAAATAAAGTATCAGGAAGACAAATTACAGTTATAACCAGCCAAATATTGATATAATTGTATTTGATTATCACCTTCAATTTGCGCATTTCTTCTTGAGTTTCGTCGTAAAGATCATCAGGACAGCCCATATCACTACAACCCTCTTTTATAGGTCGGGAGGAGTCACATTGCAAATTTGTCCCATTCCCCATGTCCTTGAAATCCTTAAAAAGGCCACACATTACCATTAGTTTAATAAGGAATACAAAAAACCCGCACACAAAACAACAATAAAAAAGTAAAAAAAAAACAAAAAAAAACAAACAAAACAACAAAAAAAAAAAAAAAAAAAAAAACAGAAACAAGCAAACTATATTTGGCAATTCATCTGTGGACTTAAAAGCTTTAAAAAGCTCAATCAAACTGAAATCGCTAAATATCTTTTCATTTCATTATTTATTTTTTAATTAAATAAACATGATAGTTTTTTTCAAAGTTGTTTAAGAAGTTATATGCAAGTACATTATATAATATTATAATATACATGTATATATATATATATATATATATATATAATATATATATGGATTTATATTCAATCAACACATTGAAAAACACATTTCCTTTACTAATTAGTTTCATGCGCAAAACGCAATCTTCAGGGTTTGTACTGACTTTTAGTGTTATTGGATTTATAATATATATATATATATATATATATATACACAGATTTTTTCATTAAATAGTAACGGTGCATTTGAAGCCTGCGACAGATTGAATTAGAAGATTCACAAGTCTGAAAGAAGAATATAGTGCTGAGAGACCATGAACATTTGAAAATAAAGTATCAGGAAGACAAATTACAGTTATAACCAGCCAAATATTTATATAATTGTATTTGATTATCACCTTCAATTTGCGCATTTCTTCTTCAGTTTCGTCGTCAAGATCATCAGGACAGTCCATATCAATACAAACTTCTTTTATAAGTCGGAAGGAGTCACATTGCAAATTTGTCCCATTAACCATGTCCTTGAAATCCTTAAAAGGCCGCACATTACTATTAGTTTTATAAGAAATACATAAAAAACGCACACTAAACAACAATAAAAAACTTTTTAAAAACAACAACAACAACAACAATAAACAAACAAACCCCCCAAACAACGACAAAAACTATAACTAAAAAAACCCTAACAAACATGAAACTATACTTGGCAGTTCATCCGTCGACTTAAATGCTTTCATAAGATCAAAACATTCAATATTCTATCAACTGAAATTACTTAATATCTTTTTATTTTATTATTTATTTTTTGATTAAATAAACATGATAGTATTTGTCAAGGCTGTTTAAGAAGTTTTATGCAAATGTATTTTATAATACTATAATATATATATACAGATTTTTCATTGACCTGTGCAATAGTAATGGCGCATTCGAAGCCTGCGACAGATGGTATTAGAAGATTCTCAAGCCTGGTGAGTCGATCGCAAGTCTTTGAAAGATTTTCTGAAATAAAAAGACAACATATTAGCTATATATAAGATGCAAAATCAGTTATTATATAGATAAATAGATATTTTACTAATATCTAACATAAGGCTGAGAATTAAATCTGGAAAAAAATGACTGAAGGAATAGTGAGTGAGTAATAACACCTTCTCTTGGCAAAGCCATATTGATAATGTTCTTAGAAAGTGTAACTCACTGTTACATTTATTATCACGTATAAAATTATTCATATCTATACCTGTACGTAAATTGTTTTACAATGCATATATTTTACCACATCTTGATTATTGTTGCATAATTTACGATTACTTTACGTCTTTTCTAGAAGATAGGCTCATTAAGTTCCAAAAGAGAGCTGCAAGACTAATTCTAGACAAAGATTATGACACTCCATCTGCTGAACTTTTTTCTGAACTCCGCTGGATGACCTTTTCACAGAGGGTTGTTTTTCAAAAAGCTATTATGATGTTTAAAATAATGAATAATCAGGCGCCTTCCTATTTATTGAATAATTTCGTTTTATCGTCAGATGTTCATAATCGCATTTTGCGTTCATCATCTGATTTTCAACTTTATACCCCTAGACCAAATACTGAACAATTTCGTAGGTCTTTTGTTTATTCTGGATCTTGTATTTGGATGGGCCTTCCTGGTTATATTAAGTCTGCTACATCTGTTAACCATTTTTAAACCTTATACTTGAGGTTTTATCACACATTGATGTATACAAATTGATAATCTCCTGTATGTTTTTACATTTATGTATTTTAATAGTTTGAATATGTTAAATTTATATTGTTCCTTGTTGAGGGCCTCATGAAAGATTGATATGTTTGTTCAAATGAGTTCTCTCGTTAAATAAAGTCTTTATAATTATTATTATTCTTATTATTATTATTATAGTACACAAAAGTAAGTCAAAGAATATACATTTTATGACAAAGGGGTTACATCATAGTGACAAAAATAAATACCAATCTTAGTTTGATAAAGTTGCAGCTCAGTATTTTTCAAGATCTTCTTTGATTCTAATTCTCCCTTTAATGTCTTTTTACTTCTAGCAGTGGATCTTTTGTCTTCTGCACTAGTTCTCAGCCTTGATGCAGACCTCTTACATTCAGATGCACTATCATAGTTAACCTTCATACCAATTCCTGCCGATGCTAGCCCAGCTCCAAAAGACATACCAACTTAAAGTAGATAAAGTAGAAAGTAAATTACACTTTAAAATAAGATTAGTGAATATATATGTTATTTTCCTGAATCTGTTTTTTTTTCAACATAAATAAAACTGTTATGTTGCATGCAATATTCATGTATTGTTAAAAGTGACAAGCGTTCTGTAGGTGAGGATGTTTTCAGAAAATGAAATTTTATTAATGGATCACATCGAAGTTTGGTGATTTACTTTACTTACAACTGTGCAAAAATATGAAGAATTTGTAAATCCTTATCATAGACCGTTTGTTGTTTTTTGCTAGTCAGGTACGCATTGCCATGTTACCGCGATGACCTTTTATGTTTTAGAGTTATTTTGTACCACTGATCAGTGTCAATTTCTACCAAAAGGTGAACTTAATTACGTGTTGATTAGAATATACTTGTAACAATAAATCTTTAAGCTTCGGTCATTTAAAAACATATAGCAAATAATATACAAATTAATTTTTTCAAACCAATTCATTTTTTCAAATATCATTGTCCACATAATCTTATTAGTTTTACCTGTAAATTGGAAATCATTTGATGTGTTTTATTATAGATTAGACAAAACGAGTTGTCAGATAATTCGAGTACATGATTTAATAATTTCAAAAATCCCTAGGAAATTATAGCGATTATGTGAATTCCTCTCATCCCTCAAATTCAAGGATCATAACTAAAACTTTTCCCTGAAACTTAACTTTTTCATGTAAACATACATGTGACTGGTGCAAATAGTAATCCTACTACAGTAGACCCAATGCCCCATAGGAATCCATTGTCTTTATATTCCCGTGCTTTACGTTTAAGGTACTTTGCTCGATCTTCGAGTTCAACAGCATCACGTTCTTCGTTGGCAGCTTCCTCCTCGTACTTTCTTATTTCATTTTCCGTAATATAAATCACCTTATCTAATCCTTCAACTTCAATTTTAGCTGATTCAATTTCATCTTCCATACTTTTCATTGCACTCTGATTGATTCCGATGAAACTGTTAATGCTTTGTTTCATTGCAAATATTTTATGAGTACAACAACGAAGGTCTGTTTCAAATCCAGACAATGTGTTGGACAATTTTTCAATCTCAATTTGGCTTGGACACGACATCTTTGAAAGCATTGTACATTGCTCCAAAACTTCATTCTCAGTGCCTACAAATGCTTTAGTTAAACATTTGTTGAGATCATCTGCGTCTTTAGAAAGGGTGTCCAGTTTATGCTCTATGGTTTCATCATTTATATATATAGAGATGTCCCTTAGCTGCTCCGGTAAACTTCTGATTACCTAGAAGTAAATTATTCATATCATATCAAGACAACCTCTAATAGTGCTTTGCATCAATACCTCTTGCTTAATTTTACATTGACCTAACCAGACAAATTTCATCATCAATAATCCAATCATTTTTTTTTTATTTTATCATAAAACCTTTACGTTTCTCATTCTGAATTTTACTTTCTTTTTCTAATCATTTCATTGCTTTAATTTATCTGCAGATAAGTAATTGTCTAAATTTCTAATTTGTTCTTATTAATAAATGATTACTTCCTTTTTGTATTCTTTCTTTTAATATGAACTGTATAAAATAGATTTTTTATAATAGAGTGTTTTGTATAATTTTTCGAGGGATATCAATTGATCAGTTCAATGAATAAGACACGAGAAAATTGCACACTTGCTTTTTCGGATTTAAAGTTATATTACCATACGGAAATGGGATTAATCATTGTCTAAAAGTTTCGTTGATAATATTATTAGTGTCAAATGGAATACATTTCGGAAGTTCTAATGAAAAAGTGGTTGAATCATGTAAAATAACGACCAATACCGGACATTGTACATGACACGGTAGGCAAAGCGGACAATACATTTTTTTCAATATTTTATTTGGCATCAAACTACATATAGCGTATAACGGAAGCCCATTGAGGCCATTTTGAGTTTGAAGTTAGAAGTAAGTTGTTAGATCTTAGAACTTAGATCTTAGAACTTAGGTCTTAGCTCTTGGAATTAAGAGGTTCCATATAGGCAGAAAAACGCCATATTTACTGCAAAATAGACAAGAAGATGTAAGTGAGATAAATTTTTATTACATTTCTTTAATTTTATCTTATAATTCAAAAAATTGTAGAGATAAAGCTAGAACGTTAAAAGATTAAGTGATTATATGTTATATATAAGGGCAAGGTAAAAAGAACCCATTCTAATTCTGAGGAAGCAAAGCTATCACCAAAAGGCTTAGACAAACTCCATAAGTGGCTATTTGAGCAAGTTCTAGCTATTTAAGCCAAACCTGGCCACGAGCAAGTTCTAGCTATTTTAGCTGAACCTGGCCACAAAAAAGGGGCACAAGCATCGAAACTGATATATGTTGCCTGTGTTTATGATGTTCCCCAATTATCAAATTTGAAAAAAAGTATTTAAAAATCATTGTGTATCTGTAAGTTTTATAATTATTAGAAAAATGTCGGTTTTCTAATGTATTAAAATAAAATGATTATCATTTCTATTGCAGAGTCTTCTTCATCCCTTTTCCGAACGACGAAAATGGTCACTAAATTAGCATGAAAGTTTGGAATTTGACTGTTTGTTATAACACCAGTAACAAGTGTTGTAATCACAGATTTAGCTGTCAATCTCAGTGGGGCGCATTTAATAAGACTATAACTGATTAACTTTGTATGGTATGTAAATGGCTACGACAAGTTAAAGCCATGTATCCTTGGAGCGATATGTACAGTCGACTCATTTTATGGCTCAAACAGTATCAAACAGCGACAACAGACCGGCAGTGATTGCGTCATTCTACCCAGGCACATATGAGGAACTGAAAATTCAACGCTAGTATTGCTTCAACCATTTTCAAATATAACGCCAGAGAAAGCGAATCAGGGTTGAACAGTTTTTTTGTAAGGTAAGAGTGTAGCAAATCAGCGTTTGGAATCCTTGTAGGGATTCCTACGTAGCAAAGGTTATAATGTGGAGTTCATTTTTTAAGGATCTTATTGATTTTAAAGTTCTGATGTAACAAATCGTGTACACATTGAATGCCTTAGATATTTTTGTATGGACTTGATCCAAGCAGAACTCTGCATGATAAAATAAACCAAAAAGAATTTTGAAATACCCTACGGAAGACCTGATAAAACGTATTTTGTACATGGAATCTATGGACAGCATAACTTTTATAAAAAGAACATACATATATGCTAAACTTTATGGATCACTAAAACAAAACCGAGAAACTTGTTCGAGTGTTGTAGTCGAATAACAGCCATCTATTAAATGAATCGTTATCATTTTACCTTGAATTTTTACAGATAATTGTGGAGCATTTACTATGACTTACAATGAACATGTTATTGGTTTTTGTGTTGGCATTCATAATTTTTAATTATAAATTATAATTTATTATATATTAATTGTATATTAATCATAATATTTTTGAACCTTTTGAACTGTTTTAAGATAACTGTTTATGAGGAATGTCAGATGTAGTTTCAATAAATAGCCCGATCATTGTGTGTCTATGCTACATTTAAAATCACATGTATATAGTGGTCAATTCTTTCGTGTTTCCATTTTGCTCGGTCAAGATCACAGCGGCCACATTAAAGGATAACCATTGTCTTAATTATAACGGCGTGCACTTCTGTATTAATATTTGAGGTTTTATACTGATTGGGGTTACCATGATGTATAAGTATATTAAAAGACAAGGATTTGTCTTATATATTATTGAAATAAATTGCCATTTGCAGCAATTTCTTATCCTGCACAAATGATTGATGGTGTTACCTGCTCTTTGCTACAAATTGAGGCCATCAGTAAACTCACAAGGAATTGCATTATTTAATAGGCACAATATTATTCAACAAAGGAAGTATATGGTCGCCTCATTAGCAGGATAACGAATAATGGATTGTCATGCAAATGTTGCATAACTAGCTATAATAATAGCGTGCAAATAATAATGAAAGAATCCATAGCGATTTTATAAATACCACATGCCTTTATTATGGCTTAAGTTGCATGTTTCCTTAAATTTCAGTGAAAAGGCAAAACACTTATTGCAAAAGGCTTTTGTGTAATACGCAGTACGTTTATTTTTTGTGTATCAAAGAAATGTCAGCACCAGAAGAACCATATCAACTGATTTTTTACGCGATACATCTGCACTTGTGCCTGCCTTTCCGACTAGTTAGGACATGTGCTTAAATGCGCGGGCAAACAGGTATAACAATGCGGTGCAGACAAAATCAAAATATAACCAACCAAGTGTGTCGTTCGATCGAAATAAAAGGCTTCAAACAAGTAGACCAAAGAGGGACCCGTAGCAGGGAACGACCTACAAAGAGAATGAGATTGTAGTGGTCAAGTGCTGTGTGGCAGCTGTAAAAAGTTGCCCCGTACTTCACTTCAGTGTTGTTTTATTTTCTGGTCCTTCGGGATCATTGATGCCAGCACTATTAAGTGTTGAGAATTGAGTACCGCTCAAGCCGGTGCTAGGGGGCGTGAGGGATGTTGCACTTATTCATTATCTCTCATGTACAGACTCAATCAAACCGAGTCTGCAATTCTTATGTAATTTTGTTGGGGTTAATGCTTCCGAGGGATCACTTTGTTTCCAGAATTCACTCAATTTATTCAGGTCTATAATAATTGATATTTAACTGAAAAATTGGTGAACTCAAACTCATCATTTAATTCCCATTTTACACTGAACGATGTTCATGCCTGCAAGTACAATAAATGCTTCAATTGATACTAGTGTTATAAATCAATGCAGACATATAAGTGAGAGGGGATATTGAATTTTCATGATTTTATATTTTATTTAACTGATAAAGGCGATCAAAATTTTATCTTGTGTTCTTTGGATCATCTATACCATATATGATGTAGTAGGTTTGGTGAATTAATGCAAAGTTATGCATAGTAATGTACCTTCGTTACCTGAATTTTGTATTCCAGTACCATTACAAGTAATGCACATTAGAATGCAGTATCATTATATTGCAGTACTCTCAAGAAAAGAAAAGAAAAGAAATGCATTCCTACTGCATTACCATTACCAGTATCATTATCCAAAGCCTAATGAAAACATTGCCTACCCGAAACGTCTAGTGACGGGGATACTTTATTCTGCTACTTGGTATGTGAAGGTTGTTTATAAAGGTCACTAACCGTTTACGCATGATCTATATTTAGTAAGTTAACCTACAGCTGACATGCTTAATGTAAATTTCTTAAACTCACTCCTTCTTCGGATAAATGCTTACAAATTGGAAGTCTATCCAATCTGAAAGTTATTCGCCTCACTTTCAAGTATCGTCAAAATTTTATCTTGTGTTCTTTGGATCATCTATACCATATATGATGTAATAGGTTTGGTGAATTAATGCAAAGTAATGCATAGTAATGCACCTTTATAACCTGAATTTTGCATTCCAGTAACATTACAAGTAATGCACATTAGAATGCAGTATCATTACATTGCATTACTCTCAAGAAAAGAAATGCATTCCTACTGCATTACCATTACCAGTATCATTATTATCATGTATTATCAGTAATTCGCCTCACTTTCAAGTATCAGTCATATGAATGACAGCCGCATACGAACAACCGAAATTACTTTGTAGGAAGAAACGTGTTTCTATGGCATGCACGTAAAAAATTATTAAATCTTTAAACATTTAATTCATTCCTCAGGATAAAAGAATCATGGAACATTAACAGACATGCTTAAAAGTACGTATCAATACATATCGATATGACCAAAGGTTCGACACGTCTAATAAAACTTTTTTAATTAGAATTTGAAATTACCTCAAGATCTAGCTTTTCTTCTTTCTTTTCTTTACTCGCCTGTAACTCCTTTAAATCTTTGCTGTCTTTTTTTAACTTGAGTTTTTCCATTTTCATTTCAACGTCTATTTGACTTCTTCTTTCTTCAATTTCTTTATTTTTCTTATTAATATCCGTCATCTCGTTATTCACAGCTTCCTTTATTTTGTAATATATACAAACAGAATATGTTTTAGTAAAAGATACATTAATAAATTCAATGCGTACTCAATATAAACGAATAATGAACATCTTACTTCATATTTCATAAACAATTGAGTCAGTATATTTTAAATTTGTATTAAACCCTTTTCTTTAAATGGCATTATACAAAACATTATTCAAGACCATGGGGATATCATTCAGCTAAAACATGTGTATTAGTATAGACATTTTTATAAAAAGTTTCTGCTTTTACAAGTATCTGCTTAGAGCGGTCAAGCTATAACTTGCAAACCATACTCAATACAAGAAAAGCATTGATGCAAAGCATCAAAGGGCGCCCAAGCAGCAGGTGCAGACGAACTAGTAGATATATGATGACAAGATATTCTTATAAACTTTTCAATGGTTCATTGGGTTTTACCAGAATTGTATATCACTTATGAATGAACGGACGAAAGACATTGTTTATTATTTATAACTTTGATTGGCATGCTAGAAATTAGAATATTGCTTGTTATTTCTTTATGATCGTGGTTATTAATAGCAACGGATATACATGTATACAATCATTTATAATCCATATGTGTAACGCATGATCAACACCATACTTGTGTAATTGTCCCTTATTATGTTATCGCTATTAGCGAGGACCCCCTCTTAAGGTATCTGTTCACAATATGACACTTGTTATATTACCATGTTGATCATGTTGAGCATAATTGTTTATTATACAATAATTGTAATATCTATTTTATAAAAAAAATACAGATTTTATGAATATTGTTTCCTTTTTTTTGTGTGTGTGTTTTATGCGCTATTTTAAAGTGACATTATGCCCATCCAACGTTATATAGTGAGTGAACGGGTGAAGATCAAAATGAGTTTTCATTTCGCCATAATTCCTTTTAATTTAATAATTAAGTTCACATGAACAATAAATAACGCACAGATCCAAACGAAATTTGTGTAAATATCCATTAGAATTTACCTATAATGCTAAGTTTATAAAAAGAGTGGGGCAGTCTTTTTCATGTTTTAGGCAGATATATAATTTTATCCTAAGCATTTTCCAATATCAACTGTTGGCCAAACATCATTTTGACAGTCAATCTTTTGAAATATAAAGTCAGTTCAGCTCAACTTGACTAGGAAGATATAAGCATAATGTCACTTTAATACTGACTTTTTACGTTTACTACTATTTTAAGAATTCAATTGTCATATTGACCGACGATTATAAGTCAAAACTTAACTGGAAAAAGTCAGTAAATCATGGTTAATCTTTCAATATATAATATTGTTTATTCTTAAACCATATACATGTACATTTGTATTTTTCTTTATCATTTTTTAAATTATCAATCAATTGAATAATTCATAAAATCTGATTTGTAACTTTGAATAATTCCTCGGCATCTTAACTAAACACGAATAACAAATTAAATAAAATGTTTCAAAGTTGATAGTGTCATATTAATGCCATACAAATGTACATTTTTTCTCAATTATTGTACATATTTATTGTTTTTATCTCATATAGATAAAATAAAACATGCGATTTGTGTTGTTGGTTTTTTTTCGAATTGTATGTTTATGTATAATAATAATCAATAAATTTGAGAGTTGATCTGTGTTTATTAATTATTGTAACCAAACTAAGTGACAAACATTCATTTTGAAAAAAAAAGCTTATTTATCTGTATAATATTTGTTCTGTTCTGTAACGATATCAAACATCTACTCCAAAACCGGGTGAGACCGGACAATAAATGTGTGGTACTATTCGCCGGTCACTAGTAAATCCCGGAGAGACCGGGAATTACCGATAGGAGTACAACCCTCTATAAATAGATTTTCTGAATATTTAGGTCATCAACTCATCATTCTATTAACAGCTTTCGGAATAACATACCATAATAACCCACTGTGTACTACAAAATGATAAACAAAAATACCCCGAAGAGCGCGATTTATTGACGGAAAAGGTTATTCATTTGAAAATGTTTGCATTGCGAAATTCTCCAGTTCGCCATTCATTGTACATATCGCGACTAATTAATAATCAAGCACCCTCATACCGATCGGAATGATCGGCTTTTATTATGAACAACTATAAAAGGCTCGAGAAGTTGCTGTCGCCCTTTCACAAAATCTGATTTCATTCCATAATAGGCGCCGCGCTTCGGCGCGGACGCCAATTAATAACATTGAAAAAATTAAATTGCATTGTGATTTATTTATGAACAGAGTGTAAGCAAAACATATCTTTTGTTTAACATACATGAGTAATATATTCATATGTAAAGTCAGATAAACAATCACAGATTTATACTATTTACTAACGCATTGAAACGATTATTCTTTTGTTTTAAAGATACCAGAGCGGGTCAATATGTAATGCAATATGATTGATCAATCGACAAAAGAGACAATATCAGAATTTACAATTTTCCGAAATAAACTCACAGAAATACAAAAGGGAAAAGCAGAATCTCTAAAGAAAGCCAAGCACGGCAAAATCGAAAATGTTTCAGGCTCGGTTTAATTGGGCCAGTTGATGGACGGAACTTGAAGTTACCGTCCCCCTCCTAACATCGTCTTAACCAGAATTCAACATTTAAAGAGAAAAAAATGGTTAAATATAGAATTTAGAAAGATCCTGAGATGTGTTCATTCGACAGTTATCATGGAATCTTCAATGTGACACAGTAGTGCCATTCCATGAAAAACGGCATATGGTCCCCAACTTTAAATTCATTCTTCAGACTTTAAACATCTTCTTGATGATCACCAAACTTTGTCTGTAGCATTTTTAGGAAGTCTTTTACCAAGTTTGCTCATATATATTGGATTTGCCCCTTGTAGGGGCCGCTAAAGCTAAAAAGGGGCCAATCAAATTAATATGACCAAACTTTAAAAGACTACGCAAAAACGCTACAGACAAAGTTTGGTGCTCACCCATCAATTATTTTTGTTAGAAATGATGTGCAAAGTTATTTTTTCTATTTTTAGCTCAAAAGACCCATAAAAGGGGCTAATCAAATTAATATGAGCAAACTTGATTAAAACTACCTAAAATGCTACAAAGTTTGGTGATCATCTATCATTTAGTTCTGTAGAAATAGACGTTTAAAGGGATTTTAATTTTTAGCTTAAGCAGCCCCTAAAAGGGGCCAATCAAATTAATATGAGCAAACTTGATAAAAGACTACCCAAGAATGCTACAGACAAAGTTTGGTGATCATCCATGCATTAGTTCTGTAGAAAAAGATGCCTAAAGGTTTTTCTATTTTTAACTTTAAAGCCCGTAAAAGGGGCCAGTCAAATTAATTAAAGGCCGGGGAATGTGAACTCAGATATCCATACGGATGGCCATTAAGCATATTAGGTACAAGAGGCGGGGTTTTTATAACCCTGAGTCGCTGTTTGTTAAAAAATGTGGTCTGCATAGTATAGGAGAGTTCGCTTCAGGAGAGATAAAAAGTTGTGTATTTTGGGGGTTTTTTGAAAATTTGTAAGTTAGCGTCTGTCAGGATGTATTTTAAATCTATTTTAAATGAGAGTTATTTAAAATCGGTAAATTCTAAAAAAAACAAAAATATAATTGTTTAAAAATCCTTGTTATAGAAAAAAATGAAACTTACTTACTTTTGTCCACTTGACTTTTTTTTTTTTGGGAAAAAATTTTTTTTTTTATAAATTCTGGTGAACAAATTTTATGGTTATGAAGTAGTAAAGCAAAAACTGCTGCTCTACAAGGGGACAGGCGATTTAGAAAATATGTGTGGCACAGGCGTGATATTATACCGAAATGTGTTTTAAACATTGTGAGGGAGTGGTTCCCGAATCCAGTTGGTGAACCATACATGGGCCACTTGTGGGAATAGACAGTGATGCACATTTGGGTGATACATAAATTTGAATGTTTCTTTTTACAGAAACAATCAATATATCAACAATTAACTTATAGTGATGGCATTTCAAGTTAATAAATTCATGATTGTAGGGATGGAATATAACACAATCAATAAATAAAATTCAAGTTCATTGCTTGCATAGTATTTCTCTGGTAGTATTTATTGCCCTAGTATTTATTTCCCTGCCATCTGTCAAACTCTACTGTGAGAATGTTTATACCTAGAGAGATGTAGTTGGCTGAGAGAAAGGTCATAACCTCTGTACAACTGTCAATCAAATATACAGGGAAATTTGAATTTTTAACTGTTTTCAAAAAAAGATTTTTTTAAAGTAGTACTTCTAAGTATCACAGAGATCTGTAACTTTCAAGGAATGTTGCTTACATGATAAAGAAGTGATGTGCCAATTTATAGCAAATAATATGAGGTATGTCTCTCTAAATTTTGAAATTTCATTTTTCTATCTCTCTCTGATTATGCTAGCAGACAGCATACAGAGTTCAACAGCAGTGGCCATTTTTCTGCTTGTCTGCCTTTTATACTTGTTCCCAGGCCTTTAAGCAAACCTGATAAAAGACTACCTAAGAATGCTACAGACAATTTTTTCTGATCATCCATTCATTAGTTCTGTAGAAATAGACGTTTAAAGGCATTTCTTTTTTAGCTTTAGCGGCCTTTTAAGTGGCCAATCAAATTAATATGAGCAAACTTGATAAAAGACTTCCCAAAAAAGCTACAGACAAAGTTTGCTGAATATCAATCAATTAGTTTTGTAGTAGAAGATGTTTAAAGGTTTTTCTATTTTTAGCTCTAATGACCCCTAAACAGGGCCAATTAAAATGAAATGAGCAAATTCAAGTAGGACTGTCACAAGGATGCTACAGACTAAATTTAAAGTAAATCTGCCCAGCAGTTTCAGAGAAGAAGACGCATGACGACGGGCGACGGACCCGGAGCAACCCCCTTTGATACTAAAAGCTCACTTTTTGGTTCTGGTGAGCTAAAAAGAAGTTTGTAATGTCTCAGGGATACCATGAGACAAAAGGCAAAATGCTAAAGTTATGATAAAATCCAGTA